AGAGGGGTGTGGGCTCCCAGTCCAGCAGGAGACAGAAACTTAGACTGGTCCTGCACCCCTCTTCCCCGCAAGCCAGCCTGGTGGAGGTGCCCCCACTCACATGCTGTATGACCTTGGGCAGGTCACTTAACCATTCCGGTTTTATTATCTGTACTGTGGGATAAATGAATCCTACCTTGCAGCCTGATTGAGAAGATTCATCTAGGAAACCGTGCCTGGCCCCCAGTAAACGTTTGCTAAGTGAGAGCCCCACTGATAACTGCGTGACCCCAGGAATGCCGAGAGCATTCTCCTACCCGCCCTTCTGGGCGTGGGGTTCCCATGGACCCCTTCGCTGACCGAACCGCAGAGGAGCCCTCCCTCCTCACAGGGAGGTCCTGACCTGTCTCACCGGGAACACAGCCAACTCGCGGGGCAGGAGGCGGAGGGGAGGTTAGACTTGCCGGTGGGCAACTCTTGGTTTAAGTCCCAGTCTCTGGCACCTGTATTCACTAGTGGGAGCACCTGGGCCTCATCTCTGGGACTCAGTTTTTTTAATTGGCAAATTGGAGATAAGAGCTAAAGTAACAGGGAACTTGCCTGCCTATCTCTATTCACTGCATCCCTAACCCCAAGGACAGTACCTGGCATACAGCTGGGTCTTCGCTGTCTGCTTATTTAAAAATGAATGGATGAATGAATGACTCAGTACTTATCCTGCATGTTGGTTTATTTAGTTCATTAGATTCCTCTTATAAGTGAGGTAATATGGTATTAGTCTTTCACCGAAAAAATAAACTAACAAGCAAAATAGAACCACAGGCATGGAAACATGGAACAGACCAGCAGTGGCTGTGGGGAGGGGGAATAATGGTGGAAAGAAGGGGAAGGGACTAGTCAAAGAACACGTATGAATGACCATGGACATGAAAAATGGTGTGGAAATTGACTGTGGGAGCCGGTGGTGGGCTGGGGAGGAGGGCAAAGGGGAAAGATAAGGACAAGTGTAACAATAATAATAATTTTTAAAAAGCTAAAAAAAAATTTACCTTGCAGAATGGTTATGAGGTTAAAATGTATAAAATTTCTGGCATAGTACCTGACTCTTGGCTAATACTCCTCAAAATATTTCCTTTTTTTCTCCCCCTTCCTTCTCTTCTTTTTCCTTTTATTGACTTCTCTGGACTTATAAACACTTAGGACAGCTCTTTGAACCCCATTTCACCCTCCAGCGACCCTGAATCCCCACACCGTGTTTCCAGACAGCAACAAAACTGTCATTCGTTGGCTGATGGCTCCAGCTGATGGCCAAGTGGAGAACTGTCTAGCCCAGTGCTCCCTCCACACGACCCCCTTTATCCTGTTCTCCAGCTCCTTTCCCTGCGTCTGTCAGTCCTGCACTACCGCGAATTTGAATTACTGTTCTTCTCACACTTTCAAGTCAAAACGGGTCTTCCTCATGTCCCCCTCATCCATAGAGTGGGAAGGAAAAGGGGCTCAGCCCGCCCAGGGTCTGGGCAGCGGCGGGGGGGGGGGGGGGGGGCGGGGGTTCTCAGAGCTCTGTCCCGCCAGATTCGGCACCAGCAGGCAAGGCTGGGTTGTCTGGATCGCTCTGTCTGTTCCTGCCTCTGCCTATTGTTTTTGTCTATCCCACTTTCTGGAAGGCAGGGTGAGGACACCTGCAGGGAACAAGCCCTGGTGTTGACATCTGGCCGCAGCCTCCTTCCCCAGCCTGGCACTCTCAGACCTGGGGGGGGACAAGCAGGACCTGGCCCCGTGGGACTCTGGCGAAGCTCCGGTCCCACCGGCCCCTATTCTCTGGGTGGAAACTCAGGCAACCCCTTGCCGTGGCTGGGGACTGGGGTCTGGGAGGCCGGAGGTCTGCAGGCGCCCCAGAGGCCCTACCCCCACCCGGGGGGTATTATGAGGTGATTTGAGACCCATGGACAAGAATAACTCTTCCCTCAATATGTTTGAGATGAATCACTAAAGGTGCTTATTAAAAATCCAGATTCACCAGGAAACATGGATTTGGTGGGGGTGGGAGGCTGAGGAAGTTGCATTCTTACCAAGCTCCCCAGGGGATTCTTATGGTTAGGAAACCAGCCCAGGCAAGTCACCTCTCTGAGCAACATTTCTCACTTTGCAAATCTCAATTAATGCCATCTATCTGAAAGGTTTCCGGGAGGATGACTGATCACCTGCTGAAACTGCGGGGCCGCATGGCTGAGTTCCTGCTCCTCCTCCCCGAGGACTGCTATCGTTCCTTTACTCCTGGGCTTGGCTCTGCCAGACCTTGGCGGCAGGAGACAGCTCGGAGATTCCTCGTAATCGGGTCAGGGCTTGGGCCACACAAGAATGGCAAGGCCCCCGCCCAGCTCCCCGGGCCTGGGACACTGCCCTCTAGCCAGTTCCGGCTGTAACTGCAGGCCTGGGCTGCCTGCCTAGGAGGCCACCTCACGGGTAGGGCAGCCTGCTGTCAGCCCCTCGGCTGGAGGGGTCCAGCCTGAAGAAGCTCGCAGGACTCAGAGCCATTCACCTCTCTCCTCCACCCTCAAACTCCACCCTCAAGAGTCATAGAGGAGTTGGGACCTCCATCACCCAGGCGAGCTGAGAGAGCTTTGTGGCCCTGTGAACTGGAAGAAATGTTTATGGCTTTTAATTAAAACAAAACAAAACAACACAAAACAACCCTCTGTGTTGCCCGGTCCCATTTACCTGGTGAGAGCAGTCCAGCTGTGAAGACCGTCACCTTTGGCCAAGGTCACCCCGAATGACAGGAAGCAGACTTGTTTACAATGTGGGGAGAGGGGGAGCATCATTAACCTCAGTTTAGCGGGTGCTAAGAGGAGGAGAATGGGCTGGGGGTGGTTGGGTGGGGCAGCCACCCCTCTCTTATGGAGATATTGAGATATTGGGTCTAAACCAGCGACCCTGAAATGTTAAATATTAATTCCAAACAGATAAGAACACCACCATCTGGTGCTGTGTCACGGGGAGGGGAGGAAGGGGAAGGGACATATATCTGGGTGCAGAGAAAGGAGGACACTGCCCACTTTCAAAAAGGTCACACTGAGGCAGCTGGACGCTGGTCCTGTTCCTCACAAATGCTCAGATAGGGCTTTGGGACAGGAAGGTGATGGGGGCGCTTGTCCCTTCGGGGCCCCATTGGGGTCCTCCCCACCTAAGTCTCATCTTCTAAAGAATCCAAACCAGCACGGAAAGTTCTTTCTCGTGATGAGGCCAAAAAGCACTAGATTCGAGCTCTAACTGTGTCATGAGGTCAGTGGGGGGCCATTGGGTGAGCCCCTTCTCCCTTCTGGGCCTCTGTTTTCTTTTTCCTTTTTACAAATTTTATTTATTTATTTTTAGAGAGAGGGGAAGAGAGGGAGAAAGAGAGAAACATCCATGTGAGAGATTGGTTGCTTCTTGCACGCCAACTGGGAACCCAGCCAGGAACCCAGGCATGTGCCCTGACCGGGAATCAAACCAGTGACCTTTTGGTTGTGGGCCAACACCCAATCCTCTGAGCCACACCAGCCAGGGCTGGCCCTTGGTTTTCTCATCATAGGGATCATTTGAGATGCAAATGATACAAAGGATGCGCTGGCACCCTTAAAGCACAGAGGAAGGGCCCTTGGCCTACATGGGAGCAGACGCGGACGGGAGGGCGTGCGGGCAGGCCTGGGGGCTCCACGCCAAGGGGGCCTCTGAGAATGCCGGCACTTTCCTCCCCGCCCCAAACAGCTTTCACTTACAACCTCGGGGAGAACGTTCCATTTGCCTCTCAACCCTGTTTCCGGAAAGCCCTGTCATCCCATCCCTCGTTTCCACCACCAGACAGACTAGCTCCTCTGGCTTGGCTGGAGCAGTCCCGAGCAATCAGGATGATCTGTGCCAATGCTTGGTCTGCAACCAACCTGAACTGGACGACGTGTCTTTCACTGCCTGTGCTGTCTGATTAAAAAAAAAAAAATCACAACAGGAAACAGCTACCATTTTATTGGGCACTGCCCGTATGTCAAGTACTATTAAGCACTTTACAGACGTTATTAAATGTCACCCTCGTTACTACCTGGTGAGGTAGGTGTTATTATCCCCATTTACAAATGAGGAAACTGAGGTTTTGAGCAGTGATTCATTTGTTGGAGTCATACAGCAGGTAAATGGTGAGGCTGGAATTTGAATCCAGATGGGCTGAACCCAAGGCTGAGTTTCCAAAGTTGTGAAGAATCAGTACTGTTTGTTGGTTATGTTTCCTTTGGGGGCCCCCAGCCCCCTGTTCCTTCCAAACCCGGCTCTCAGGACAGGGCCTGAAACCGCTGCCAACAGAAAAGGCTCGTGTGCTCGGTCTCCCGGGCGGACCTGCGTTCCACTTGGAGCGCAAGCAGCCCCTAGCAGAGGAATGAAGTAGAAATGGTGCAACTTCAGGCGGCAGCCCTGGCTGGGAACGAGCCCCGGGCCGCACCCTTGCCTGGAGTCTCGCCATCGCACTGCCTCCGGCCTTGGCGGAGTGCAGGTTGTTCTGGTTCTGCCCAGCCTGCTGCGAGGCGTCATTTTCAGGCTCCTTTGCTCACGCGGAGAATCCCAGAGGAGGCAGAGGCCTCACTCTCTGTCGAGTTAGATACAAACCTGGCCAGCAATGAGGGGAGGGAGGTCAGCTCTGGGGGGGGACTTTGTGTCCAGCTTATTGGGAGCCAGGCGCTGGATCTCCGGGAAGTCTCCCTGCGTTACCTGCCACTCTAATTGTCCCGTCCTGCCCTGCAGAGCTCCGCATGCCTGCACTCACGGGCATTTACACAGGATGCCACCTGTAACGCCTTGTCTGGAATCCTCGTTGTGCCCCTCTGCTCCAGCCATGCCAGGGACCTGGTGTCCCCTTCCTCCCGTTCTCTCCAGGCCAGGCCCCCAAGGCTGGGCTACATGCGCAGCACGGTGGGGATTGGGGTGGGGCTGAAGGCCCAGGAGGTGAGGCTGGGTTGGGGCTGCAGAGGAAGGCCCGGGCCTGCCCTGCCGTCTGCTCAGGATTCCCACTGCACAGTCAGGGCCAGGCCTCTGAAAAGGGAGTCCAGCTCTGTGGGCTGCTCCAGGTCTGAGGCCCGAGGGGCTGCACTATGGGCCTGGCTCTTGGACCCTGGATCCTCGTCCTTGGAACACACGAGGGACTCCAGCAGGCCCCAGGGACTAGAAACCTGGTCTGTGGGAGAACATGGGAGGGATGGGGTGTGCAAAGGGAGGGACACCGGGTGGCCCTCTATCTGGACAGAAGAGAGGAGGGGCAGCTGGCTCTTCAGGTACCCTGGCGTCCCTGGCTCTCTTTTGTGCAGCACGCTGGTGTCAGGTGCTCCGTCCACGTCAACATGCAGAGGGGGCCGGAAGGATTTTGCTTCTTGGGGCTCCTCTGTAGCCAAGGAGGCCACCCTCTGCAGTGATAGGTCATCTGTGATGCAGCTCCCAGCTGGTGGCTCTTTCTGGAGCTGACTTTTAGGCCTGAGGTGTTTGGGACTGGCCTGTGCCACAGGTGGGGAGTCTTTGCCAGAGTCTTCCATACACACCCCATAGGAGGGAGGCCAGCTGTCCGAGGTGGCCTGAGGGGCATAGGAAGAGACAGTCTGTGGAGCGTAGGATGGGGCTTTATCTTCGGTGGTGCCTTGAGCTGTGTAGCATGAGGGTCTGACCTCGGGGGCAGCCTGGGGGGCATAGGATGGCGGGGGGAGTATCTGGTGAGGTGGCGCTCTGGGGGGCTGGAGGACGGAGACGTCTGGCTGTCCGCGGTAGGTGACCTCAGACCGGCTGTGCAGCGGTGGGGCTCCCGGGGGGGGCCCAGAGACTATGATTCTGGAGTACTGCACAGGCTGGGCCAGGCTGCTGGGGCTGCTGAGCTCAGAGGCAGGGATCAGGAAGTGTTCTTGGATGAACTGCAGTGGCCGGAAGGTCAGCACAGGCTGGACGTTCTGCACAAGGACAACAACGGCCCAACATTAGGGCCCATTCTCAGCTCCCCGAGGGCGCCCTGCGGGTGAGGCCCTCGTTGGGGAGGCCGAGGCAATGGGGTAGGCCATCGGGGGCTTTTCAAGATGCATGTTCTGCACATCCCCTTTGCCTCCCAGAGACCCGTCTAAGCACTGGGACTCGCATGAAGGGACAGGGCTGCCGGCACTGTAGCTGAGGGCTGCTCCTGAAGTCTGGGCTCTCTCCGGGAGAGAGATTTCGGCTGTGGTTTCTCCGAGGAAACAGATAATCCAGGGAGTAGATGGCTTAGATTTGGGGTGGCCTTGGGGTCTGCTCTGGAGGTGGTGGCCCATGCTGTTCCTTGCTCACAGTCCCTAAGGGACTGATGCAGGGGGCAAGGTGGGAAAGGACGGGGAGCAGGGGAGGCCAGGAGAGCTTTACAGGAAACGTCTGTCTGGGCTGTGACATGGAGCGAACTGCCCTCGAGCCTCTCAGACGGGTGAGAGCTGCCCGGAAGCCCAGGCAGCCCGGCCGCGGCCTCTGCGGCTCCTGCGGCGGCCCTGCTGCTTTAGCAGACGCAGTGCTGCTGGCCAGACTGGCGCTGTGACGTGGCCTGTGTGGTTTACACAGGGCTTTGTGTTTTAGGCATTAGTGGCCAACATTTGCAAATTGAGGGATTTCACATTATAATCTGAAAATCTGACTTCTCTTGAGAACATGTGCGGAGATCTGGCCACCCTGGGCCTGCGTCTCCAGGGGGTAGAACGGGGCTGCGCTTCGGACAGGGCGTGAGCTCGGGGGCCCCACAGAACCCCCACTCCCTGCAGGGGCCTGCCCCCCTGGGTCCTGTGTTACCTGCCTGGGTGTGGACGTTTTCAAGCTGCATGGGTTTTCTATTCCAAGCCCACTCTTCCGGATCATTCATGCATCTTTAATACCCCCTGCCAAGCCACGTTTTTAGGGTGGAGGGGAGGTATTAGGGCTAATTTTCTGCTTTGTGTGCTGCTCCCCACATTTTGGGGAGAGCCTGGGCTTATGCCCTGTAATATTTCAGGCCCCCCCCGCCCGCCGCCCCGGCCCGCAGACCTTTCCCTCCTGCCCCAGGCGGGGCTGCTCACCAGGGAATCGGGTGGCTGAGGTGGCTTGGTGATGTATCTGTAGCTCAGGTAGCAGAGGCCTGCGACGACAAAGCCCATGGAGAACAGGAAGGCACCGGAAAATGAGTAGGTCCACGTCCGGTCTGCACAAACAAAGAGGCTGGAGCAGGGCAGGTGAGGCTGGCCCTGGGCTGGGCCCCTCCCAAGGGCAGACGCAACACACGCAGGGTGTTCCCTCGCCGCCCCTCAAGCCAGGCCTGGGAAGCCCCTCGCACCCGAATGTTGGCAGGGCCCAGCAAGAGCACAAAGAGAGGGCCACCTCCCACACGTCTAAATACTCAGAATTTGTAAATCATGTTGTCAAGCTGTTACTAAATAGGTTCTATGCTCCCTCCTTGACAAATGTACTTTTCGTGGCAACCTGGAAGGCCTAGTTTGAATTTTGAGTTCTTGGACTCCTTGGGAGACGGTCCTGACATGTTGGGGGAGGTGGCTGAGGCTCCTCGCCTGCCCGGCTTCATCTCACAATGCCAGGGCCTGGCGCGCAGATAGGGACGCCCCAGCCCCCATCTGGCTAAGCTCATCCATGCCCCCAACAAATAGCCACCTACTGGCCACCCTTTGGGCTGGGGATCTGTACGCCAATAGGGTATCTCCCGTCAGGAGGAAGAGACCTGCCTAGAGTAGACACAGGCTTGGGGCATTTCTACAGGGGACTTCGGGATACAAGGCTCTCAGAGTGGGGTCTGAAAGGGAGGTCACAGGCTCCAGGGGAACTTGTCCGCTTAGGCCTAAGGACCCTTTATCTTGTGGGCGGGGCCATGGCTAGAGCCAGGGCTGGAGTGGGGCCTTCTAAAGTGGCCTCTCTTACCTGGCTCTGAGGATGGCCCTGCATCCCTGGCAGGGGATGGGAAGTGACAATTGGAGGGGCCTGTCTTCCCCACCCCCACCCCCAACCCCAGTAGAGGGCTGGGTATTGGGAAGCCCTTGCTCAGGAGGCTGCTAGAGAGGCACTGCCCTTTCTAAATGGGAGGGAGACAGACAACGGAGGGCTTCTGCGCTGAGCCTTCCCACTGCGGTCCCCCATCTCTGGCATGGGCACGGCCAGTTCTTGGCATGACAAACTTTCTATCACCATCTCAAGTGGGACTGGGGAAGGGCTTGGTGATGAAGAAATAATTGGAAGGGTTTTTTGTTTGTTTGTTTGTTTGTTAAAATTGACAGTTTGTATTATCCAGGGGTCTTGACTCTCCAAATCACCCTCCTGTTCCCATGTCATCAGCTTGAAGAGCTGATCCCCAGCTGCCCGTGACCTTCGCAATTGCTGTGAACACTGGAATCAGAGCTGCTACTTCTAGCCCATTCCTCACTCCTCCCCAAGCCTGGTGGCTTGGGCCTCTCAGGGTCAGCTTCCCACTTCAGTGATACCTTGTCCCCTGTCACATGATACTCCCAGCACTGCTCCAGGGAGAAGACATGACCTGAATGTCTCTACGTGACATGCCTAATGGAAAACCATTGCTCCTTGTACCAGGATAGCACAGGGACATGGAACATTCCTATATGCCACTTCACCCATGGGGAGGCAGGAAGAAATAATAGAAATAACACTAGAGTGTGGGGTATTAGATGTCTGGCTCAACCTCTGATATGCTGAGCATCTTTCTCTCTGCTGCACAACTCTCTTTGGTCTACCACTTATTAGTAACAGTAACCAGTGATTATTGAATTCTTAAAATGTGCCATGCACTGTGTGGATGCTCTACCTATGTCATCCCACCAAACACAGAGAGCCAGGGACGCCCCCTTTTTACAGATAATGAAGCTGAGTCTCAGAGAGATCAAATGACTTGACCAAGGTCACACAACTATTCAGAGGGAAAGCCAGGATTGACATGTATAACTCCAAAGCTCACCCTCATAGCCACGACACAAAGATGCCACAGTTTCATCATCTGTAAAAACTGGATGTGAGGTGAGATGACCCCCAGAGTCCTTTCCAGCATCAAGATACTGAGGTTGCTCTCTGGCCCTCCCAGATATCCTGAGAGGTCAATAAAGTGCCGACTATGAGCTCTGGGGATAAGACAGACCCCAGGATAGGGGGTTAAGGGCAAGACATAAATGGCATTAAGAGGAATAAATGTGCAGTAGAGGTCATTAGCTGTAAACAAAATTGCAAAGTGGTGGTCAGAGCTCAGGCTCTGGATCAGATGAACCTCACTAGGTTTACTGACCAGCCGTGTGGTCACCTTCAAGTTGCTTACCTCTCTGAGCCAGGGTTCCTCCTTTGTAAAATAGGGACGAGGCTACCCATCCTTCAAGATTGTTATAAAGATTAAGTGGGATAATAGAGGCAGAGCATTTAACACCGTGCTTGGCGATAGAGTAGGCACTTAATGAATGGTAGGGATTGTTATTAATATACTTTATTTTTGAGGATAAGGCGCTTTCTACGTGCCAGCAGGAAATAACCAGCAAGAAGTGTGATTTATATAAAAGCAGCTCCAGTCTTAGAAAAGAAAAATGGTATCACATTATGAGCTAGGTCATGAAAGAACAAGTCAACAGAAGGGTGAGGGTGGAGTGGTCTGCATGTTGTCAGTAGGCAGCATGGGGCAGGGGCGGGCCAGGAATGGGCGAGGTTTGTCTAGTTTGGTCCAGGGAATAGGTCATGAGCCATCTATACGCTCCCAGCTTAGTGCCTGTAACATTGTTTCCCCCCACCCCTTGTCTTCCTCTCGCCAAGTTCTATTCTGGTCTCCTCAGTGACCCTGTCCCCAGGAAAGGCATGTCCCATGCAAGTGGCCAATGCTGGCTAGTCCACCAGGCACTTCCTGGAAATGAATGCACTGTGGTGGAGAAATCAGTCTCCTGTGGGCTCTTAGGACAACTGATGAGCTGCGTTTCCAAACAAAACTGAGGGCTGGAACCCGCCTGGCGATGGTTCTCCAAGCGGCAGTGGTACCCAGGGCCTGCCCCTGCAGCCACCCCAGCTCTGCTCATTAGAGCGGAAGTCACCTGCTGACATCATTCATCTGAACAAGACAACGAAGGTGGAGACTGGCTTTCCCAATCCAGCCAACCCACTGCTATCGTTCGCTTTCGTCCTCCAAACTTGCTGCTCTGAGCATTACAACATTTCTACATGTCTATGAAAGGAAACACTAAGGAAAATATCGCAATGCTTACAGTGAGAGTGGAGTTCCAATGTGCCAGAGGAAGGGAGCATGGGGCACCATCTTGCCAAGTCAGCGACTCACAACTGTGCCTACAGTAGCACAATGGTGAGAACATGGTCTCCAGAGTTAGGCCCAGTTCTGTTCCTCACTGCCTGTGTGACCTCGGGTAGGTGACTTAACTACTCTGAACCCATCTCCTCATCTCTAAAGTGAGGACGATAGTACCCACCTCACAGGTTGCTCCTGAGGGTTGTGCTGAGCAGTGCCTGGCCCCCGGTTAGCACTGGGGAAATGCTAGTTATCGTTGCTATTATTTGACATGGGAAGAAATTGAGTGATCTTTTTGCCTTTGCTCTCCCCCCTGTGGATTATCTCCGAGTATATCTCACCTGAGTTAATATTAAGGTGCAGTTGCTCTGCTGGGGTACACACTAAGCTTGCCAGAGAGAGGAAATCCGGACATAGGCTGGAGGGTGAAGATTAAACATGTGCTATGATAACCCATCAGCTAACGCACTTATGGGTAAACAAAGATTAACTTTAATAATATGCTAATAACCCTTCTGCAGTTTTTCAGAGCACTGTCAAGCCTCGCCTTGGTTGCAGGGAGGAAAGCACGTCGTCAAGACCTGAATTCGGGAGTCCCACTTCCCTCTGGCTTCAGCCAAACTTACCTGGCAGTGTCTTCACACGGCACACATAGGGGGCACTCTCTTTGGACCAGGTTGGAACAAAAATTTTGATGGTCCCAAGGAACTCCGTGTCAGGGGTCAGGCCAATGAACTCGTATTCTCTCTGCTTTCCTCCAAGGTGCTGAATTTGAAAGAGAACCCAGAGTGACTCCTCTGACACCCCCACCTCCATGTGGAGCCCAGGCAAGTCTACTCACATGTCTGCCTGGGTCTCTGCATTTAGGGACAGGGCGCTACCGGCTGCGGAGCCAGAAACCAGTGGGCCAGCCTGCCGTGCTCCCTTCCCTTTCCCCGCCTTCTGCTTTATCCCCAGACCCTGTCAGTCACCAAGCTGCATGCACCCTCTCTTAGAACAGCGTCTGGAACAGAGTAAGCACTGCACAAATACTGGCTGCTGTTATCACAGCTGCCACCATCGACAGCATGGCATCGGCCGCCACCACCACCGCCGTTACCATGACCACCGCCACCACCATCACCCCAACCACCACCACCACCATGGCCACCATCTCCACCACCCATTTATCGGGAGGCTGTGGCAATCGTGAATGTGTATGGCTTGATAATGAAGTCTCAAATATGCATAGAATAAAAGGGCAAAATAGACAATCCCGCAGTCATAGTTGCAGACTGTACTGCTGTCAAAAATTAAAAAACAATTGACTTCTCCCAAACCAGGAAAAGCATAGAAGATCTGAAAACACTCCTAGCCACCTTGATCCAACTGATATTCATCGCGCACTCTACCAAACAACTGCAAGATACACGTTATTCTCACGTGTATGTGCAACATCCACCAAGATAGGCCACACAGAGCCATGAAACAGGTATCCATAAATTTATAAGGACTGAAATTATACAGAGTATTTTCCTGAGCACAAAATGAATTAAATTATGGTAACAATAAAATATGCAGTAAAACCTCAACTATTTACCAAAATACAGTTGTGATAGGGACTCTCCCTACTCAATAATCTCAGGTTGCTCCCTGTGACCACTGACATAAAAAATGACTCCTCCATCTGCCACGCCAGGCCTCTATAGAACAGCCCCAGGCTGCCTCCTGGGGTGTATCTGCCGTGGTTCCTCTCCACCAGCGGTTCTCAACTTCAGTGTGGGCAGGGGGCACGTGGGATGCTCACCAAGTTTCAGATGCCAGGGGTGTAACTACAGAATTTGATTAAGTAGATTGGAAGGGGGACCATTTTAAACAAAGGCTGCAGAAGATTCTGATGCCCTTGGTTTGGGCCATGCTTTGTGAAACTGTTCTACTTGTCCCATTTCTCCAGGCAAACCAGGCAGTTTCGTGTTTTCCAGCAATGTCCAAAGTTTTTCTGCTGCTCTCTATGATCATGGTGGGGGCAATGTAGCTAGTGGGGGAAAACATGGGCTTTGAACAGAGCTGGGTTGGAATCTTGGGTATGCTATTATTTGCTGAACAATCTTGAGCTGGTAACTTAACCTCTCCGAGCCACCGTTTTCTATTCAGAAAATGTAGGAGATAATAGCACCTATCACGGAGAGCTTGGGTGAAGATTAAGTGACTTAGTGAGCATACATTACTTAGCTTAGTAAGCTTAGCACACCTCAGAAATGGATATTGGCACCAGAAAGTTTTCTGATGCAGAGTCTTTCCAGATTTCTCTGAACTGCCATCTCCCCTCTCGCTTGCTGCTGCTCTGCCTCACACAATACCCTTCTTTTCCTCTACCTATGCCTGTTTGAATTCTTGTTTTAATTCCATTCCTATCCGCCAGATTATAAACGCCTTGAGTGCAGAAACAGTCAATGGAATTATGGATTAGTGGCACACGCTGCGGGGAAATACCACATATTTTCTGAAGAAAAAAAATAACTTGTGTATTGTTTGACAATGCGGGCCCTTGCCTTCCATCTGTTATTATTACTGATCTTCAGACACTGCGTGTATGCAGTTTGCACGGACAGTGGAGAACATACAAAAAGAACTGCAGCGGTAGCAACCGATACCCGCATTTTCTGAAGTGGACACCTGAGAATGTTAACAGAGGTTGTTGCCCAGGATGTTAGAAGGCACTAGGAAAAAATTAAGAAAAACATTAAATATCATGCAAAATAAAAGGTCAAGTAAATTTGGGAAAAATTGCGTTGAGCAAATTGAGACTGGGGTTGGCTTTGCAGGACTTGTCAGAGACTTAGCATGCTACTGTGTAAGCGAATCCATTAGGGAGAGGCTGTGGATATGTTTTGGGAAATGCTGATTTATATAAAACATCTCCTTTCTACTTGAACAATGTAGATCTCATTGAGAGGGAAATGGATTTCCCAGGCAGGGAAGGGCCAGAGCAGCACATGTATTTGACACTTATTTACCATTTGGTAGGTTTGGTTGATGTGGAGGTCTAAGCGGTAGAACAGGTCCTGGAAGACATCCTCCAGGGTTAGCCGGTGGCCATCTGCTGAGTGGAGGGGCGTGCACGTGGGGTGGACAATCATCTGAATGGATTTCACCTTGGGGATGCAGGTCACATCAGGTGGTTTGATGGTAGCTGGAAAAAAGGAGAGAGAAAAAAGAAAAGAAAAGTTGGAATCAGCCAGTGATGTGTGAGGCTGCCCTGGACCGTGGGAAATGACTGCTTCCTCGCCCCTCCCTCCCCAGCCCAGCTGTGCATCTGAAAGCATCAGCTAAAACATAGGCGAGAAGAGAGATGTTCTGCAAGCAACTGGTGAATGGGTTTAAGGCTAGCAAGGGGCTGACCCAGAATGAGTAGGAAGATCTTAGGGAGAAGGACACTGGCCTCCTAGGTGGTTGATTGTGCCCTTGGCCCAGCTCCCACACACCCCGGCCTTTCACCCCACTTTGAATCTGCCTGGAGCACACCCTCTCCCCTAGCTTACTGGCAGTGACAGCTTTGGGGAGTGATGATGGTTCAATGACATATCCTAAATAATGTTTGGGGTGTCCAGTATTACTGACTCAGCCTCAGTTCCAAGCCTAAGAAATTTAGCCCTTCTCCAGATGGAACATTCTACATAACCAAATGACCTTTACTGCTTTGCAGACTTCTTTGGGAATTGGATGAATGCTATGGCTCTCCTCTTCTCCAAAATTTACATATATAAAAACCTTACCCTCAATTTCAGGGACTCAGGAACCCTATACCCCCTGAAGCTTATTTATAAAAACCCTCAAGGGTCCATTGACCTCCAAGATTAAAAACATCTAAGCCAAGTGCTGACCAGTGTGGCTCAGTTGGTTGGACTTCATTCCACTGGTTCTATTCGTAGTCAGGGTACATGCCTAGGTTGTGGGTTCGGTCCCTGGTCAGGGTGCGTACAAGAGGCAGCTGATCAATGTTTCTCTCTCACATTGATGTTTCTTTCCCTCTCTTTCTCCTCTCTTCCCTGCACTCTAAAAATAAAGAAACAAATTCTTTAAAAAAATTCTGAGCCAAAGAACATTCACTTCAGTATTGCTTATAAAATTGAAAAATTGAGTTAAATGTCTTCAAAAGTGCATTAGGGAAGTAAATTAGAGTGTCTCTATAGGATGGGTTATTTGTAGCAGTGGAATATTATGTAGTGAAAAAAATTGAATAGGAATGCACAAATTAATGATCATGATGCCACCGTATAAAAAATAAACAGCCAGATTACAAAAAAATAGTGTTGCTAGTAACTGCAGTTATGTTTAAATGTCCAGAATACTTTGGGCTACTTTTATTTTTCTTTGTGTATTTCTATATTTTCCAAATTTTTTACAATAAACATGTATTGATTGAACAAGACAAGAAAAAAAATAGTTTGTTTAATTTTTTATTTTCTTAAAAAATCATGTGGCTGTTTAGTCAGTGAATATCACCTGCTTAACTTGTGTGGGGAGTTTGGCAATGCATATTCCTTCCTCCCTTCCTTCCTTCCTTCCTTCCTTCCTTCCTTCCTTCCTTCCTTCCTTCCTTCCTTCCTTCCTTCCTTCCTTCCTTCCTTCATCCTTCCTTCCTTCCTTCCTCCTTCCTTCCTTCCTTCCTCCCTCCCTCCCTCCCTCCCTCTCTCCCTTCCTTCCTTCCTTCCTTCCTGAATCGATTACATATTGAGCATCTCCTATGTGCCAGGCACCATGCTGAGGGCTAGGAATACAGTGGATTCCACACCCACACACGGAGCTCACCTGTCAGTGGGGAGGCTAATAATATATATACAAACAAACACAAGAATTGTAGATTGGGATATGAGCTGTGAGGACAATGAACAGCTAATTGTCACAAAGAATACCAGGTGGTGACCTGGTGAAATCAGGTTGGGGGCTGGAAGTGGGGACACTCACTTAGGAAGTGATATTGAAGCTGAGACCAGATTAAGGATTGGAAAAGAGTCAAAGGACAAGGGGGTTGAGGTGGGGACCAGGTTCAGAGACCTTGGTTGCAGCTGAGAGAAGGCGAAGGTGGTCTGAACGAGGGAGTCCAGGATGGAGATGGAGGAAGGTGGATAACCACACTGGAGATGTTCTCCATCGGGATGCCTTTCCTAAAAGCCACGTCCCTAACGGCCCCCTACCCCCCGAAGGCAGAGCCCTTCTGGGCCATTCTCCTCTCCTCCCCTGTAACAACAGGGGCTCCTACTCACTATGGTGCAGTGAGCTGAACCGGTCGGTCATCTTGGTGGCTGACCGGCCTCCTGCGCTGGTGGCAGTGACCCTGGCGTAGTAGAGCTCTGTGAGGCTGGCTGTCTCCATGGTCAGGTTGCAGGACTTCCTGGTGATCTGCTGGCAGCCCTTCTTTGCCAGCCACTCTATCTCTCCGTACCTGTAGGAAAGGGAGGGGCTGGAGCACACCTTTAATGAACAGGCTTGGCATCAGATCTGTTGTTTATTAATAATATAATGATATCTAATATTTACTTAGAATGTTTTGTGTTCCAGGCCTTTTATGAGGATGATTTGTTAGTCCACACATTGATCCTGTGAGGTTCATACAATATTCTCTCTCCTTTTCAAACAAGGAAGTTGAGGCTGAGAGGTAAAACCTGCCCAGGTGTTTGAAGCATGCCTGTGAGGAGGCAGGATTTGAACCCACCCAGTCTGAATCCACGCTCTGGGCTCACTGTTACTGTAACTCTTTGAGGCAGACCCTGTTATCCCCATTTTACAGATGAGGGAATGCGGCTCAGAAACAAGAAATGACTTGCTGCAGGATGAAGTGGCAGGGTCGGGAATAAACCCAGGTTTGCAGACTTCCGAGCCCATGCCTACCCTCCTTCCCTGCGTGGCATCTGGGGCCTAGCCCAGATGGGGTGGGCACAACTTTGTGTTGACCTAGTCTCACCATTAATAATAAAGCAATTATTTGCCAGGCCCCAGTGCCAAAGACTGTCTTGATTAATGCCTCTAACAATCTTATGATGAACCATTACTATCCTGACTTTATCAATGCAGAAACTGAGGCTTGGTGTGGTTACTCAATTGCTCAAGGTCATATAGGCGAGAGCTGGCTTTCAAGCCAGAGCCCGTACTTTTAACCATTATCTCATCCTCCCTCTGCGAAAGAAACAAAGGAGCAGAGCTACTAGGGGGTGTAAGACCAGTCAAGGTGGGGGGTATAGGGCCCAGAGAAGGGGGGCACTTTCTTGGAAGGGTTGGTTTCAGAGCAGAGTCAGAAGAGGTCATGTTGGGAGGGAAGCCTACGTCTTATACTCGACACTGTAGACTGTGCCTGGGGTGCTCTCCGGCGCGCTGTCCCAGGTCAGGATGTTTTCGAAGTTGCTGGACTGGAATTTCACGTGCTGAAGAAGATCCGAGGCGTCCTCAGCAATGTGAGCTGTGGGAAGTGGGAGCGGGGTGAGCCGATGGGCCCGTGCACCCTGCCCCCAGCACAGCTGTCCGAGGAGGGGGACTGAGGAACAGCATCCCCCACTCACCAGCGGCTGTGCTCGCGGACCACCACTGCTCTCCTTCACTTCTTAGTTTCCTTTTCATTGAGCTCTGATTCACATTCCATAAAAGCTACCATTTAGAGTGTACAATTCAGTGGTTTTTTTTAGTATATTCGCAAAGTTGTGCAACCATTACCATTATCTAATGCCAGACTATTTTCTTCAACCCGGAAAGAAACTCTGCGTCCATTAGCTGTCTGCTCTATTTCTCCCCTGCCCTGGCCTTAGGCTACCACTAATCTGCTTTCTGTCTCGATGGATTTGCTTATTTGGATTTTTCATGTAGTTAGAGCTGTGCAATATGTGACCTTTGTGCCTGGCTTCTTTCACTTAGCATAATGTCTTCGAGGTTCATTCGTATTGTGGCATGAATCTCCTTTTTATGGCTGACTAATATGTGGTCGTATGAATATACCATATTTTGTTTATCCAGTGATCAGTTGATGGCCATTTGTGGTGTTTCCACTTTTTGGTTATTGTGAATAACGCTACTGTGAACATTTGTATACACACTTTCAAGTGTGCGTGTTTTCAGTTTTCCAGGGTGAATGTGCAGCTAGAAGTGGAATAGGTGGGTCATATGGTAACTTTATATTTAAGTTTTTGAAGAACGGCTAAACTATTTTCCAAAGTGGCTGCACCATCCTACATTTTCACCAGCAGTGTTCGAGCGGTCCGCTTATTCCACGTCCTTGCCAACACTTGGTATTGTCTCTCATTCACTTCTTAACACCATCTGGAGTTGGTGTTCTCGCCCACATTTCGGGGGTAGTCAGCTAAGATGTCTCAGAACTTGCCCAAAGTCAGTAATTATAACCAAGGCTGCAGAAGTAGTTCATAAATCACTTCCCCTCTGCTGGCCAAACTAAAACCTGCCCACCCTCTATATGTCTTCTTAGGAAGGCAAAGGTTCCACTTGAGGTCAGAACTGAAGGGCGGCTTCTGGCGGGCTGGCAAGGAGTGGGCAGGAGAGAGAGGCTGGGATCTGAGGGAAGGCACCAGGGTCTGCCTGGGGCTGGACTCAGCCTCCCCTAGTGGAGGGTTAGGGTCTGCAATGGGAAGACTGCTTGTTGGGATCAGTATCCAGGCGGGCCATGTGGGTTGAGAGGGGGCAGGTGACTGAGGCTGGGATATGCTCAGGAGGCAACGGCCTCTGTTGAGTGGAGTTTGGCACCACTGTTTGGGAGGGAACTGAAGTCGGTTCCCCAAAATGAGGTGGGTGGACAATGGTTGGGTCCCCTCTTTTAGGAGGTGTCAAGGCCTAACAAGTTCTCCCCTCTCCTCCCACCCCACTCGCTTCTTTTCCACCTCAAACCCATCGTCCGCTCCTGAGCCTGTCTTTCCTACACTTCCCGGTTAAAAGTCTACATTGTGAAATCTGGGAAACCGTGAGTCGTTGAGACTGGCAGGCTGGTAGACTTTATCAAAGGAAGTTTTCACACTTCTGTGAAAAACAATTTTACGTCAACCAGATGGGAAGCTGAGGAAAAACAAATGAAAACAATTCAACACGCTCTGGAATCAGCCTAAGAAAAGTGGGGTGAGGAAACCTAGGGCCCCAGAGTGACCTTACTGACTCGCAACAATCTCCGAGGGATGGCTCCCCCATGGGTCCCCTGCCTTAAAGGGCCAGGAGCCTCCATGGCTCCCAACCAGAATGGGCGAGGGTCTAAAGGAACATGTCTCTTGGGATGGACATCTTTCTAGCTGATCGAAGGCCCAGCACGATGGGCCAGTGTGATGCCAGGGGAGGGGAGATTGGAGGGGCCCGGGCAGCAGATGGAAGCACTGTGGGTCCAGTAAGCACTGGCCGGGCACATCATGTTTGTGGCTGGGGACAGGGAAGCTCTGGCCCTTCATGGGCTCATCCTGAACTTGAACTATAGGGCCTTGTATGGGCCATCTCCCTCTGAGAAAGTTCCCTGAATTTTATTAACTTCTCAGAGAGCGGACAGGATCTAGGATCTCACGCATCTGCCTGAAAGTTCACCATAATGATGAACCAGTGCAGCCACCTAATTGGATTTGAAAACTGTGCCCTTTCATTCTGTTTCGAAAAGGGCCCAGGTGCTTTAGGGTCTATTAATACCCCACACCTGGCCACCAGGGGGAAAATATGCTCTTTCAGAGCTAGCCATAAGAGGTCCACAAAGATAGTGAAGGGAAGCAAGGGTGTACCCACCCCGTCCCAGCATGCAGCTCAGCCCCAGCACAGAAGAAACTGAAACTGGCTGTCCTGGACATGGCAGGGTGCAGGGAGATGACCCTGGTCGCTGTCCTGGGGTAGCTGGGGGCCTCAGGGCAGTGGGCACTCACCGACCAGGGATCCCACAGCCAGGATGGTCAGTAGCGTCCTCATCGGGCTGGGCGCAGAGCCCTCTTTTGGCCTCCACTCTGGACCAAGCACCGAGGGAGGACTGAGAAACTGCCGCCTGGGCAGCTGGCTCCACCTGGGCTCAGGGCGGGGAAAGCAGGGGAGGGTGGGACCTGGCAGTGGGGAGAAGGTACAAAGGTGCCTGGCGTAGGTGCTTCGGAATTCCAGGTTCTGGGTGGGATCCAAGGGAGTTCCTTTCCTAGGTGCAAAAAACAGCAATAGTGACAGGCCAGCTTGTTTATCTAGTCTAGTGGCTGAATCATCTTGAGACTCTTCAATGATTTATCAGGGATCTGAGAGGCAGAAAGGCAAAAAGAACCATGACATACAGCCTTATCAGAGAGCAATTTGGCACTGTGTATCAAAAGCCTACAACACGTGCATATCTGTTGCCCCAGTAATTCCATTCTCAGGGATTTACCCTGATGAAAATAACTGAACGAGGGAGCAGAAAGTACAGGGCAAGGCAAAAGCTGGTTTATAGTTGTTCATATGGAAATAATATAATAATTAATAAACAATAATACAAGAAAAACTCTGTGTTTCATGTACTCACGAGGGTAAACCTATTTTTGACTCACCCTGTATGTTCCAGAATGTTCCTTGTGCTAAAGCTCTGTGGCTTTGTTCTGGCAGGAGGAGGTATAGGATGTCTGCTGCCCCTTCAGTGCCCGACATCGAAGCAGATAACCTCCCTTCTACCGGGGCTGCCGAGGTGAGAAGCCCAGGCACTCTTACCTGGAGCCTTTGGAGTCTGGGGTCTGCTAAAATTTAGAAAGGACAAAAATGGATCTCAAACTTCAGTGACTCTATTGTGCGAAATATCAGGGCAAAATTCATGAATGGGTCTTTAGTTTGGGACAATGAAGATTCAAATGGCTCACCCAAGCGATCATTCTACCAAGAGCTGTATCCATAGGGATTAACGTGACGTTCTTTGGGACAGGTGTTTAGGAAATACTTTGCTAAATGATTTGGGAAATACTTTCTCCTTCTTGTTGGGCCTCAGGGAAAGTTGAAGGGGCCTGGGTTTGGGTTAGGGTGGACACGATCAAAACTCTCCATCCCTGGGAGAGTTTGGCCGACCCCAGTGACACAACAGCAGGCCGAGGCCAATAGCAGGATATCTGGCTCCTAAGGGAGCCTGTGGGGGGATGGGGGGTTGCCTTGTAGATGCAGTAGGCTGTGATATCCAGGGATCTGTACTTAAGGTTTTTTGTTTTTTTAAAAAAATATTTTATTTATTTATTTTTAGAGGAAGAAAGAAAGGGAGAGAAACATCAATGTGTGGTTGCCTCTTGATCACCCACAACTGGGGACCTGGCCCGCAACCCAAGCATGTGCCCGGACTGGGAATTGAACCCGCGTCCCTTTGGTTTGCAGGCTGTCGCTCAATCCACTGAGCCACACCAGCCGGAATTAAGTTTTTCTTTTATTTTTTCCTGCGTTGCGGTTGTTTTCTATCAGCCCTCAGTCTCTGTTTGGGCTGATATAAACAAACCTCAAGTTTGTTTGACAAAACAGCCAAATTTGAGCTGTGCTTTGGGAGAATTCACTTGAGCCAGTCATGTCCTGTAATAGCAGGAAACTACATTTCCCAGATTCCTTTGTCAACTGCTTCCTGATAGGTCTGACCAATGGGATGCACTGGAGAAAGACCAGAGAGCTGAAGAAGTCAGGGTATTCCTTCCTCTATTTCTTCGCTTTGAGTGGCATCCCCAGCAATGGCTGTGTGTCCTCTGGACTTCCAGCTCCCTCCTGCCAGGCGACCATCAACATCTTTCTGTCAGGTGGCCAGTTCCTGGAAACATTTCCCTCCTGCCCCCCATTTTTCCCTTTAGCTCAAAGGGTGGAGCAATCTCCTGCTTGGATTACCAGAGCTTTCATCATCTAGATAACCAACTCCCTTGTATTGAAAGAGTCCCTTGGTTTGAAGGACCTGAGAGGTTTCTGTGCTGCTGAATGGACCATGATGGATGCAGGGCCTTTGATGACTTCAGGCAGAAAGTGGAGTGAGGACATCCTGGCCAGGGAAACGGGTTACAAAATGCCAAGCGGGGCCAGGGGAGAGGAGCAGGAGCTGGAGCCAGCTTGGCTGGCTTGCAGAGAGGACAGCTCTGGGGACCATGAAACTGTCCCTTGGGACCTTCGGAGTGCCTGGAGGGAAGAATTTGATGGAAAAACTAGACTTCCTATCATTCTGAGGGACCATGGTTATGTAGTAATTAATGGGGAGGAAGAAATCTGGATTGTTAAAGAACTTGGGAATACTCAGACTCATTTCTAATAGTAAAATAAAATAAAATTAAGTTAAAATAAAAAAATAAAAAATTAAACAGTCTCCATGTCCAGCAATAGGGGTCTGGTAAAATGAATAATGGTATGTCTATCACATGCAAGATGAATGCAGCCTTCAAAATAATGCTGGAGAAAAATAGTCTATGGCCTAGTAAAGACTCACCATATTTCATCAAACAAAGACCAGTGTGGCATAAACTATGTATAGTATAAGCCTGATTAAAACACATACATACACATGTAGAGAAAGACACATACTCAAGTCTTGAAAGATATAATATGAAAATATTAATGGCGTTATCTCTGGGTGGTGGTAGAATTACAGGTGCTTTTTATTTTCTTTCCTTTGCTCATCTGCATTTTCTAAACTTCTTTTTTTTAAGGAAAAGCAAGGCTAATTGACAAAACAAATCGGCATTAAAGACTCTGCTGCACACCTGAAACTAGGACAAAATAATATTGAATGTAAACTGTAATAATAAAAAAAAGGAAGTGCCTTTGTCTGGGCTGCACCTGGCTCCTGGATTGTCACTTCCTCTCCCTTAGAAAAGCTCCCTATCCCTTAAGGCCCCCAGGGACGGTGTGTCCTGCTGCAAGAAGCCCTGACAACTCCAGCCCACCACACTCCCTAAAAACTCTTCTGGAACGCTGGTTGGCCGCGGGTTTGGAATTCTCCAAAGCCATTCTTCAGTGGTGCTCCTGTTTTAAGGCTGGAAAGGAGAGACTCAGGTCGGGGCAAGGGGAGACAGGAGGGCCGTCTCCAAAGACCAGAGGGGCTGCTGCCTGGAGAAGGGCCTGGTCCCCTTTGCGTAACCACCTCTAAACAGGGGGATGGTGGAGGGGCAGGTTAAGAAGGCAAATTTCTTTGGCTTTAAGGAAATGGTTCTTGTTACGCTGATGTGGCTGACTTGAGGATGGGCTGCTCTTTGTTGCTAGGGGTATTCACTGAGAGGCTGCAACGGCTGGTAGATGGTCCCTGGATACCTTTATTCTCTGGTCTCTAAAATTCAATAGTTCTTTTCTTCCCAGCGAGGGAGACAAGTTTTTGAGTGCAAAGAGCACACCTTGTATTTCTCTGTACCCTCCACGTGGCTGAACAGAGAACACCTGCAGAACATTGACCTTTAGAGCAGCAGATTCACCTGCCTATGCTCCCTCGGGCTGCCAGAGAAATGCACTTGTCTTCTCTCTGCTAAATTTCTCCAACGCACTTCTGTTGTCTTGTCTCTGAGCCTTTGCGCAAGCTGCATCTGCTGCCCCAAACACCCTTTCCACACCCTTTTCCCTGTCTGATTCCTGTTCCTTCTTCAGACCTCTTCCCAAATTCTCATCCTCCAGTAAGCCTTGCCCATGTGAGCCGCTCACCTGGGTGGGTTAGGAGCCCCAGCTCTGTGCTCTTGTCACCCCCACCCCTCCCTCATCCTTGTGTGTATCGCACCATGTTATTTTTCCTCCTGTCGCCGGTTATGGGGACGAAGCATCTAACGTGCTCTTCTTGACATCTCAGCATCCACCAGGAGCTGGCACAGAGCAGGTACCTGGTAGTATTTGTTGACTGAATGAGTGAGCTTGGGTGAGCTGGTTGGAGCTTCAATACTGGCTGTGGAAAATCCCTGAGCTGTAGAAAAAGCATATCCTAAAATCCCAAATATTCAGGAATGTGACCTGTCCCTTCTTTCGACACCCAGGGACTCCAGAACCTGTTCTACAGAAACAAGAACATGGGAAGAGAGTGGGGTGCGCTTTGGGGGATGGGGAGTGCCCCGCTGCCCGTGTGGCTGGTGACACAGCAGTGAGAGAGCCTGCGGGACCTCCCTGATCAATCATGGATGGGAAGAGCAAGGAAAGGAGCTTTGCCCCAGGGCCCCTTCTTAGAGAGAAGCCTGCGAATCAGCCTCACTCTGGAGTCCCCCAGCCTGCGCTGTGTCAGTCAGGGACATTGACTTCGATGTTCCAGGTTGGGATTCTGGGTTTTGTCCTTACTCTGCAGGTGAACTTGAGTAGGTCTTGTCCCCTCTTTGGGCCTCAGTTTCTCTGGCTATAAGGGAGGCTTGGTCTAGAAGTCCTCTAAGGGCCCTTGGAACTTGAATGGCCTCTGCTTTCATGTCACTTTGGGGTTGAAAACCCTTCCCTGACATCCCAGAATTCCTTTCATGGCTATTGTTAGTGACACAAACATGAATTCAGCTCAGCAGTTATTGACTCTGCTTATAATTTCAGCTCTCTCTCAGGTTAAGGAGTTCTTGAAGCTTATTACATGCTCATAAGACCAAGCTTCTTCATGAAAACATTAAGACCCTGTGTCTCAGGCCCAGATTGGGGGAGCAGTTTCATAGGGCCCCTGAGAGCCAGGAAGTGAACAGAATATAAGCTTTGGGCAGACAGACCCAGGTTCAACTCCTAGCTCTGCCACTTGCCTGCAGCATGTAGGTCACTTAATCTCTCACCCTTTGTTTTCTCACCTACAAAAGGGAAAAAATAGTCTCTAGACTCGGGGTTGCTGGGAGGGTTAAACTAGCTGATGCCTCCTAACAGATTCTGAGGAGAAGACCTCCTGCCGCGAGTCTCCTCTGTTAATATATGAGGAACCAAGGATCAAGAGAGGTCCCTTGATCCCAGACTCAGACTGGGTGGGGACGGTGGGTGGGAGCAATGAGGACAGTGATAATGCTGCCTTTAGAAGTTTGAGTAGACATTAGTGTCTGAGGCCAAATCCCAGGGATGGGGGGAGTGTGGACGCTGCATCCCACAGGTTAGGCATCAAGGCGGGAAAAAGGTTATTTGGGGGGATGTATTCCATGAAGGGGCCTGGAGCTCAGAGATGGGAGTGGGGGCGGGATTCTGAGTCCCTGTTGGAATCTGGCTTTCAAGGTGGCCCATTTAGTACCTAGAGAAGCCAAGGCTTAGACTGGGGGCAGGGGGCACATGCAATGCAAGAACCCGTGAGACTTCTCCTGGAGGCATGGAGCCCAGGAGTGGCCTTCTCACCACCTGCTGATGGTTTTTTCCCACCAGTTTAGTGTACCCTGAGGCATTCCTACCTCAGGGTCCTTTCCTTCTCCTCCTGACCTGCGTACAGAGCAGGTAAAGTGCGAAAAGGCTCTTGGCAATTAATAAAGAGCTGTCGCCTCTGTATCCTGTATCCTCACATGCTGAGAGGGGGGGCCCCCCTGGGCTGGAACGGGCCCTGGCGCCAACCACTATCTCTTGAGCAATTGACTCATGGAGCTGACTCACTCATTTAGATAAAGATGTAACTTCTGGCCTGTGTGTGTGTGTGTGTGTGTGTGTGTGTGTGTGTGTGTGTGTTTAAACTTTTATCACATTCCCCCACTTTGTACACACGGGGATGAACTCAAGGAAGATGTAAGCAAGCAGCCATGCGTCAAGTGCTGAGTCCTGTGGGAAACAGTTACAGTCAGGGGATCAAAGCCCTGTTTGTGTCCCCATTGTCCCCTCCCTCGCCATTTCTCTCACTGAGCAGCAGCTTAGTGACGGTCATTCACATGCAACAGGAATGTAGGATCTGGGGATGGTATCATCTAATGCAGGATCTCTGGCAGTCTTATAATTCCAGCTAGTCATGTTAAATGTACGTCAGCCATGGCCAGCTCCGTACCGACTCCAATTCGTACATCAATTCACACATTCCTTCATTTACTTATTCAATACCAAGCCTCCACCCTGTGCCAGGTGCTGGTGCCAGGAAAAGAAGTTCCTTCCCTAGAGGAATTCCCAGATGTGATATCTATTACCCCAGCCCTCCCTTCTCCCAGCAGCCCTGAGCACTGTTCTTGTAAGAGCCTGTGCAACCCAGCAGCCCAGCCATCCACCACTGCCCAGAAGCTGGCCGCGGACAGGCCAGGAGACGCTCAAAACGTGACTTGGCGTTGGAGGTCAGGGCGGGAGGCAGCTGCGGATCACCTGAAGAGGAAGTTCTGCCTTGTTTTCTGGAAAGCACCTACTGCACATCCACCCAAAGGGGCAGATGCCCCAACCTATCCACAAGCTGCGACATGACATAATGTGAATTGGCAAGGATGTTTAGTTACAAGTAATAGAAAGTCCGGGGAGATGACTTAAAACAAGGATGCAGAGAAGCTGAGGACAGAGCTGCCGCTGGGCCGCAGGAATGAACCAGAGCTGGGGTTTATCATTTCTCATCTCCGTAGCTTGTGTGGCAGCCTCATTCTTGTCTCTTCTGCACACCAGGTTTTCCCGTTTCTCGGAGTGAAAAATAGGGCAGTAGTAGGTTGGAACGTGTCTCAGGCTCAGCCGGCCAGAAAGACTTCTGAATTCCAGGGAAAGGGACTTGGATCAGCTCAGCTTGAGTCTAATGCCCAAGTAAAAGGCAACAACCTGCAAGAACAGTGCTGGGCAGTTGCCAGGGGGCCTGACAATCACTTGAAGCTGGGAGACCTTCAGTAGTGATCTACTGGAATGAGTTCAGGTTTGCAAGGCCAGCCACTGAGGATGCCGTGTGTCCTTTCACAGACCTGAGCTACAACAGGGCAAGCTGCCAGGGCAGTGGGCACAGCTCCAGCCTCATGGCAGCAGGCGATGTGGGTGTCCTGTCCCTACCCCCCAGGGCTTTCAACTTTCTTGTGAGCTCACCTTAATGGATTCCAACTGCCAGCACCTACAACTCTTCAGCGGGGAGCAGCCCTCTACCCAGGACCAAGCAGGGTTGGTAGGTAAATTCCCTAGCTCCTGCCTCTGGCAGAACAAATCTGGAGGGTCTAACACTGAACTCCCAGTGCCCCTCAGGGCGACAGGGCCCGGGGCGCCCTGGGCAGTGACCTTTTTGATGGTGCCCCTGGACTGGCTGTCCCCCTCTGCCTGGCTTTCCTGTTCCCTGTCGGTGCTTTCTGGAATGACAGATGCGCTTTGGACTCAGAAATCCTGGTCTCTGGGTCAGCTGTGGGGTCCCAGCCCACAGGACCCCAGTGGTCTAAGCAGCTGGGTGAGTGATGGGGAGACTTTGAGAAATAAGAGCGCACACTTTTCCATTCAATTCTGCCTTTTTCTCTAAAAATAGAGCTCTTTATTTAAAAACAGTTCAGAGTAGATACCAATGAGCATTAAGAAATTATTTAAATATCATATAAATGTAGAAAATTAGAAATACAAAAATCCAATATATAATCTCAGTACAGTTGACCCTTGAGCAACATGGGTTTGAACAGCATGGGTCCAGTTAGATGCAGATTTTTTTCAATAAATACACAACCAGCCCTCTGGATGCCTGGGTTTTGCATCTGCGGATTCAACCACACATGACTGAAAACAGTATTTTTGATTCTTGTCTGGGAATTTACAGATGCAGAGGACTTGAACACGAGTGGATTTTGGTATCTGTGGACATGGGACTGGCAGGGGGACTCCTGGAACCAATGCCCTGCAGACACTGAGGTACGACTGGAGACTTTGGGGGATTCAAAATTTATATGTGAATTTTCGACTGTGGGTGGGGTCAGCACCCCTAACTCCTTCAAGAGCCAACTGTGCTCTGAAAAATTATAATGTTGCTTTTAACCAAAGGCATCAGGTATTCTTGACCCAATGTCCCTCAAGCATGGCCCTGGAGCTGTCTGCGTATGTTAAAGGGCAAATTATCATAATGTTTCGCACAGTTTTTTAATGATTTAATCACTACAAAAATTACTAAAAAGCTCAGCTTATCTATGAAATTAAACGTTGGAAAAAAAGCTTAAAAAACCCCCCAAGGTTTAATGAAAAAGATAGTGCAATTCCTTCACCAGGGTGATAACAGCTTTCAGTTTACCTTCGTGAACTGAAAAACCGAAGGTAATTACCTTCGAAGGAACTGAAATTACCTTCATGAAGCAGCTCATCTGGGTTCCAGAAAGAACTTCAGCCTTAGTCTGGGTATCTGCCTAGGAAGAGGCCCTGAGCCACAGCCTTGCCCAGCAACAAGGCTTCAGTTTGTCCTTCCTCTTCTGTGTTCAATGATGCGGACAAGCCTTCACCCCTGTGCAAGTGCACACGTGTGTGTATGCATGTGAGTCCCAGCAGAGAAGGCCTCCTGCCAGCTTCATGCCCCCTGGAAATCCCTGCTGTAACCTCAGCACTTTGCTGGCATGGCCAAGGGAACAGGGGTTAGACCAGCTGGCCAGAGACGAAAGAACTCACCCCTTAAGGACATACACAGTAAGTCAACATTTCAGCATCTGACAAAATCTTGGTCCTTATGGATGCAAACTCAGCTATGCTGGTCCATACACGAGTAGGGGGAGGTTAACAAAGTGAACACCCATTACTACCCCCAGGTAACAGCCTGTTTTGAGAAGACACTGGTTTCTCATAACTGGAAGGGAAAATGGGACTTTTTATAACCACAGTAGCCAACCAAGGGGTTAAAGTGCCGTCTGTAGCAGGGATCACAGGCATGAGTCCAATTCCCTGCCAGGTTGCTCCTCCACCTCCAATGAATCAGAACCCTCTGGGAGACGGACCATTGACCATTTGGTACTGGGAAAAGGGAGAGGGGCCAAGTGCCTCCTTGGCTGGGTTTCCTGACCAGAAGGTGGAGACGAGAGGTGAGACAAGCTGAGAGGCAGATGCTTCCAGGTACTCTGGGTTGAAGGGCCACAGGTGGGAGACGCCCAGCAGTCTCCTCAGCACCAGGCCGATGGAGAGCCCTACCAGCCACCAGGAGGAGGGCGCCAGTGATGTGCAGGCACTGCGTCACGCACCTCTCTCTCTCAGAACCCTCCCCACACCGCAGGTGGGACGCAGAAGAGGAAACCCAGGTGCGGAGAAGGAAGGTGCTTACCCAAGGTCACACGACCGGGAAATGGCAGAGCTGGGATTTGGACCCATGTTGGCCTGATAGCAAACCTGCGCAGTTCCACGATGGAGACTTGGACGTGGCTGACGGCCACCCTTTCCCCTCCCCGCCAACGCCGCCTGTCTACTACATTCTTCCTCACTGGGGCCTGCCCTAGGGCACTCATGAGTCAGGAGGCCAAGGCTTGGGGAGAAAGGTGCTAGAGAAACTGCCTCCGAATGTCCTCCCCTCAACCCAGATGGCCCCTTGTGGTGTCAGCCCTTGATGTCCACTGTGCCCTGGCCTCGCCTGTTGTCCAGGGGTGATTTTTTCACCTGACCTTTCACCCCAGGGATAGTGGAGTGATCTGAACTCTGCCCGTTCTCTTCTTTAGTCCTTTTGGAGCTCCGCCCATAGCTGGTGGTTTCTAGGATGGGGTGGCTTCCTACTGCTCAACCTGACGAACAAACAGCCTCTAGCTGGGGGGTCAGGACATGCTGCCAGAACACTCTGCCACTCCAGGGACGATGCTCCCAGGCTTTCAAGTCTCAGTGGCATCTTGGGTCCTCGGGAAGCTCAGAAGCACCGGATTCCTCAGGAAGCTGGGGGACAGCTCACCTGGCCATGTAGTGCCCCAGGGTCCGACCGCTGGCTTTGGTCCTCCAGAGGCTGTCAGTCCCCCAGCTGCCAGTGCTGCTGTGCTCGAGTTCTGATCCCCCCCCGCCCCCTTCCTCCTCCTCCTCCTCCTCCTCCTCCTCTTCCCCGGCACTGCTGTCCCAGGCGAAGGTCAGTGTCTGGAAAGAAACTAGAGGTTCCCCGGGGACCAGATGCAGCCTTGGTGACGAGGATCCCCAGTCGGCCCAGGAGGAGAGGTCATCTCTCTGGAGCTCTTCCAGGGAACTTAAGTCCTCGGAGAATTTGGGGAGGAGGAGGGGGTCCTGACACCCGTCCTCATCCAGCTCTCGGCCTGGCCCCTCCTTGGCTAAATAGCCAGAGGACCCAGCCTCGTCCGTGGGGGCGGAGCAGACAGTGCTGGCCCAGCTTCTGTCTGAAGAATCCCAAGCAGGACAGCCTTCGACCTGGACCCCTTGCTCAGGTTGCCCCGGGGTGTGGTGCCCCTGCTCCAGGAAATGGGGGGGTGCAATATATGCCTGGAAGCTGACATTGTCGTCTGTGTCCTCCTCGTCATCCTCTTCCTTAGCACTGTCCTTCTCTGATCCTGCCTGGATGGTGGCTGGGGCCCTGACCCTAGAGGTTAGTGGGATCCTTCTGGTCAGTTCCTTTTGGGGACAGAGGGTCAAGTTATCCAGGGACTCGGGGCCACAGGGCTGATAGGTCGCCACAGGGCGTCTGTGTCCGGAAAAGTCCTGATTTGAGGAGGGGAGACAAGAACAGAAAGTTCAGGCTTTCCTGAAGCATGACAGTTCTAACTGCGGGCACCCTGGAAATAGACGCTGTGATGAGCATGCAAATGTAAATGGTTTCTTTGGGAAGTGATCCCAGGAAAGGCTGACAAGGGAGAGGCCACATTAGACAGGGGTGGGGGAGCTGCCACGAAGATGGGTGTTACCAGGCAAGTTACTTCTAAGGCAGCTGGACCCACCCCTGCTGGGGCCTCAGGGAGCTGCATCTCGGAGCACCATCAGGTGGGGGGCGGCGGGGGCGGTGAAGACAGTGCCACTTCCCTGGCACTTGCAGCCTGCCATGTGCATGGGCCGAGTGGACACCAGAGGCCAGAGACCTCTGGATGCAGGCGCTGGCTGTGGAAGGAACTTTACAAATATTCCCTCCCCCATGGCAGGGACACTCAGAATCCATCCTCAACGCTCCCACCCAGCCCGAGTGCCCCCTGAGCCTCACCTATGGCCCAGCCGCCCTCATCTGAACAAGCCTGGCCCCCTGACCTCTCTGGACTTCCCCTGCCCTGGCTGGCCTCCACGGTCTTAGGCAGGGAGCCAGCGGACGAGTGAGGAAACTCCAGAGTCGGCCTGGGCAGGGCCACTTAGAAGTGTGGGGACCCTTCTAAGATTCTCCCTGTTGGAATCACTCTCTCCCCTCCCCTCCGGAGCATCTCTTCTGAGTCCCAAGGCTGGGGGCTCTGCTCCGGGCAGCTGACAAATCCTTAGCAGAGATGAAGTTATCTAACTAACGGTGAAGTTGAGACACAAAGAAAGGACATGTTTTGCAGTTTGGACCATCTTGATAGTCTACTGAACTACCTCTGAGTCTAGCCCCACCTCCTTCCTCTTCAACACCCTTCCCCCTCTGAGGCACATGCCTGGTTTGCCGTACCAGAGCCTGCGGCCTCTCTGCGCGCTGAAACCAGGGGTTCCCTGTGAAGCTCTTCCACATCACACAGCTCTTCCAGATCACACACCCCACGGGGATAACCAACAGCAGTGGCAGCAGCACCAGGAATGCCCAGTGGACTCCTAACGAAAAATAACAATTACAGAAACAAACAACAGTGGCTCCGGTCTACCAACTACATATGTCCTGAGGGCCTCATGTACATACATCATCCCGATTAATTCTCATAGGAATAAACCCACGCTACAGATTGTGGAAACCAAGATTCAGAGAGGTTATGTAAGCTGCCCAAAGACACAGTGAGTGTGGTGGAGCCAGGATTTTAATCAGGTGAGTATGTCTCTAGGTTCATGCTCTTCACCCCCATATTATGAAGATCTGACGCTCAGGGGGAAAATCCTCAATTCTGTCCCACTTTGCACCCACCTGGGGTCTCCAGGGAGAAGCAGGTGGGCTTGGAGAACTCGCTGTATTTAGGGTCACCTAAGATGTAGATGGTTCTGGCACTGACACAGTGGCTTCCACGGGCAGCCAGCTGGAGAGGGATCTGGACTTCCTGGCCATGGGGAGTGGCTGGGAACCGGGTCTATTTGGAGGAAGATGCAGAGGTGAGCAGACCTGCTGCAGGAACTGGCTTCTTACAGGCAGGATGGGGCGGGGCTGGCAGGCAGAATACAGCTGTGATCCTGCGTTGAAATTCAAGCGTGAAGGAAGCCCTTCCCAGTGCTATCCGGTTTCTCTTCTGCTGGGTTGCAACGTAGAGATGGTCTGGGATCAAAAATGCCCCTGCCTTCAGCGTCACGCCCTGCACCTGCCCAGGGCCTGCTGGTCTTCACTTTGAGGGGCCCATTCCTCAGGCTTCCTGCCCTAAGCGCCTCCCAACCTATTTGGGGAGGGGGCATCACTCAACCATCGCAGACACTGTCCGAAGTAGTAGATGCCTGTCCGAAGTAGTAGCCACCGGTCACATGTGGCTTCTGAGCACCTCAAGTGGGGCCAGCCAAACAGGCATGGGCTCCGAGTACAAAATACATACCAGCTTTCAAAGACTAAGTGAAAAGAAATGTAAGTTATCTCAATACTTTTTATATTGATGAAATGATACATCCTATTGGATGAAATAAAGTATATGATGAAAATTAAATTCACCTGTTTCTTTCTACTTACGTTAACGAGGAACACTTAAAACGACATACGGGGCTCACATTATATTTCTATTGGACAGCGCTGGTCTAGGCTATTTGTAAGGTTCACGAAGGCACAGACCACCTCCGATGAAGACCCCTGGGAATCAGAGGCTGCAGGAGGTCAGGAGCGTGACGTGCAGCCACGGAGAAGCTGCATAAGGATGGGGTCAGTCAGCCACACAACCTGTGGGCAAATCTGGCGGCCAGCTTCTCTGGAACCAGTTTTACTGGGTAACTGCTAAGCCTGTTCATTTATCTATTGTCTGCAGTTCTTTTTGTGTTACAGGTGCAGAGCTGAGTGGCTGTGAATAGACCATGGGGCCTGCAAAGCCACAGATATTTACTCTCTGGTACTTTACAGAAAACGCGTGCCAACCCAGCCGTAAATAAGCACGTGCAGACATACACACAGGCGCCCGCGGAAAGCAAGTCGGAAACTGGATAGACACCAGAGTTATCTGTGGCCCTCTCTGGTGCTTTCAGTTTTCCTCTTAGAGCTTATGTGTGTTTTCTGAGCTTTTTTTTTTTAATGAATCTGGTGGCTTGATACGCAGGCCCCCTGTAGCTCATATTTCAATGAGATTTTATTGCTAAAAAAAGGTTTTATACTTTAAAAAATATGAGGAAGAAAACTGCTGTGCCGTCACCCCCTGTGAGGTACAGGGAGAGGATGCCCTGCACTTGGCCTCTTAGGTGGAGAAGAGCAGCGGCGGGGCCACAGGCCGTTCGCACTGTGTGGGGTCAGGGGCGTGCCGAGAGTGAGGGGTGTGTGCGGAAGGCTTCCTGGATGAGGTGCACAGGCAGCAGGCTGGCAGGGCGAGGAGCGCTCGGGTTTGGTGGGGCAGTGAGGTGTGGGGGCACAGCTAGAGGGCAGGAAAGGCGATTCCCACCTTGTAACCAGTCCGCTCCTTCCAGAAATCCACCTGATACTGCAGATTCAGTGAGGGCATGCAGTGGGGCAGGTGGTACGTGGCATTGACCTTCAGGATCTCCCCTGTCACAGTGTGTTCCAGGATGGGCGGGGCCGGCTCCACTGGCAGAGGCAGAACAGCACTTGTCAGTACCCTCTGGGGGCGGCAGCGCGCCCATCCCCCTGCCTCCGGGCAAGCCCGCACCTCACCCAGCCCCAGGGGTTCTCCTGGAAAGGGGCGCCCAGCACCCGTGCCTGTCCAACGCCTGCTGTGCATCAGGAGCAGCCCAGTGCTTTTACTTAAGCCCTGCAGGGTCCCTGGGAGGAGATACCACTATTCCCATTTTAAGGAAGGGAAAATTCAGGCTTAGAGGGGTGAAAGGACCTGGCCAAGCTCACAGTTAACCTGCCTTTATTCACGCTGCCCCTTCCACCGGAGCGCCCTCACATATTGCTGGGCTGCCAGAAGCCTGCCATTGTGTGTCGGTTTTCTATGGCTGCTGCAACTCATCACCACAAACTTAGTGGCTTAAAACAGCGCAGACGTATCACAGTGCGGCAGGTCAGCGTCCGGGGGCACTGACTATGTAGTAAGCTCTGGGTAGGGACTGTCTGGGTACTGACAGTAACAGGCAGATGAGGCCTCCACAGACCCTGACCTGAAGGAGCTGAAAGAAGTTGGAGGGAAATGAAATATTCAAACTATCAAAATCCAAGAGAGAAAATGACCAGGGCCCCAGTGAAAGGCAGAAAAAGGCAGAAAGGGCCCTTCAGGCTTGGGTGTGCTGTGAAAGAACCAGAGAAGCCTCAGGGAGGAGGCGAAAACATTTTTTTTTTTTAAAGTAACCTTCCTTTTGCATCTTTCTCCCCATTTCCATCTCTTGGTCCCATCTTCCCAACCATCCCAGTGGTTCATCCATCATTCTTCTCTAGCCAGACAGCCTTTCCTCCTGCTTTCCCACCCTTTCTCTCCAACCAACATTCCCGCCTTCCTTTCCATCCTTTCCAGCCAATCGCCCATCCATTCCTCTTTCCTTTTCGTGTAACTTTCCTTCTTGTTCTTCCTTCTGTCATTTGCTTGTTCATTCCTCCTTTGCCTCCCCTTCCTTCCAGCCCTTTCCAGGCAGCCAGCCTTGCTTCTGAAGTCTCTAACCACTTGATCGGCCCCCCTGCCTTCCCTTCCTGTCCTCCGTTTCTCCATCCATCCTCCATCTCTCCATCCATCCTTGCTTCCTTCCTAGTAAGCCTTTGTCCTTCCCCCTGCCTCCTTCCTTCCACTCATCCATCGCATCCTCCTCCAGCCTCTCCACGTTTCCCTTCTTCTCACCGGTTCATCCCTTTCCTCCTTTTATCTGTCCACCCAGCCAGCGTGCTCCCAGCCAAGCCATCTCTTCTCCCTTCTCTGCCACCTTTCATTCAATCCCTTGTTCCTTCCCTTCAACCTCTATTTCAGCTCCAGGAGGCAGCTGAGTATTTATCCTCTCATTCTTACCACCCTACCTCACTTCTCATCTGGTCCAGAACCTTGTCCAAGATCAGAAAGATCCAGAATCACATCTCATCTCCACCGCTTCCTAGCTATGTATCCTATGAGTTTGCCTTATTTATTTTTTAAAAATTGCGTTGATAAATATGAACCTCACAGGTCTGTTATGAGGATTAGCGATAAATTATATTGGGGGAAAAGTGGGCTCCTGACTCAGAGTTAGCACTGGAGACTTCTGAATGCATGAAGCATGGGGGATTGTTTTTCTCTCTACTTTTATCTTCTTTCCACCCAGATTTCTACAGTGTACAGAAATCACTTCTATAACTAGAATTTTAAAAAGTTGTTTTTTAAAGAGAGAGGAAAGTTTGTTTTTTAAAGAGAAAGGTTGAACATAAAAAATAGAAATAAGTCTGTAAAGTGCCTGTCCAGTCCATGACCAAGGTTGTGTTTGATAGAAGATAATGACTGTCATAGTAGGAGGCACAAGCTGAATCGCCAGCACTGGTGCCCCTCCCCTACCTCCCTGTCACGAGGTCAGGCTGCTTGGACACAGGCTGGGGCCCAGGGCAGCCGCCCCACAGTGCTGCTCTCTGTGTTGGGGACATGGGAGACAGATGGTTGCACAGCAGTGCCACTGAGCCAAGGTCTTGGGCAGAGAGCCTCCCATCCAGCCCCTTACCGGCAAACCTACCTTCAAAAAGGTACTCCAGGTAATTGGACTCCACCCAGGGGGACCTGGTGAGGGGAGAAACCACCCGCACACGTCCCTTGAACTTGTTGAATAGGTCCTGTTTCTCCAGGCACATCAGACAGCATGTCAGCTCTTTGGTTGCTGCGCACTTTTCCACTTTTCGCCACCGTCTGGGGGTTGTTGTGAAGCTGAGGGAGGAAACAGAAGAGCTTGGGCCATGGACTCAGCCTCTCGGGTCAAGGGAACTTAGAAAACATGTGGTCATGCGTCCCTCCATTCTGCCTAATCCATCCATTCACCCAGCCATCTGTCCCCCATCCGTCCATCTGTCTGTCCAAGCATCCAGCCTTTGGTTGAGACGGAAAGAGAACAGGCCAGTTAGGAGCTCAGGCTCTGGAGACGCACGTGGGCGGGAACTGTGTCTTTGCCCCTCACTAGCTCTGGGACCCTACGTGGGTCACCGCTCCCGAGCCTGTTTCCCCATCCGTCATGCCTCCCTCAAAGGGCCGCTGTGGTGGCTGCTATTGCTAGTACTAGTTACAATTTTCCATGAGTTTATTGATTCAGGTATTTATGGTCCATAAATATTTATGGTGGTGTGACAGGCACCATGCTGGGTGCTGTGTGGATGTCAGAGGGTGGCAGGCAGGTCCATAACACCAACCTCCTGAGAACACTGAGGTCCACAGAAGGGACCTGGGCATTTTCTTGGGGAATCAGCAACACATGACAGATAAGGTCCTTGGGAACTTACGCTCCGGTGGGAGGGGATGAGAGACCATCAGCACATCCACAAGATAAATCTGGGAGCTGGCACGTGCAGTGACAGCAGAGTAATGTGGGGGTGACTGCCTTCCTACGGTGGCTCGGGAAAGGCCAGGAAGATACCACTGCGCGGAGGCCGCAGTGACGAGAAGGGGGCCCAGCGAGGGCTGGGGGCCAGGGGAGCAAAAGCAAAAGCCCTGCGATGGGAAGGATCTTGACATGTCCAGACTAAAGCAAGGTGGCCTGCGTGGCCGAAGCCCCAAGGACAAGGGCGGGACAGACAGGAGAAGAGCGCAGAGAGGGGGCTGGGCAGAGCAGGCGGGCCTCATCATCTGGGTAAGGAGTCTGGATTGTATTCCAAGTGTGATAGGAAGCCACTAGAAGGTTCTGAATGGGGGACTGATCTAATTTACATTTTTAAAAGATCACTGATTATCCAGCTAGGAGGCTGCAGCAGCGACCCGACGGAGAACGGCGGTAGGCTTGGCAAGAGGAGGTTAAATTCAAGATATATTTTGGAGCAAAAATAGACAAACTACAGGAAGAAACAGAAAACCTGTAATTATAAAGAGAAATTTTTAACACAACTGACTCAGTAACTAACAACTGAACAAAGAAAAATAACTTTAATATGTAAAAAATGAACAATGTCATGATCAAAGTTGGTCTAATGAACACATATAGAATACACTGAACAAATTGCTTAAGCCACACATGAACATTAATAGCATATTAAAAATATTAACAGCTTTGACTGGCTCAGTGGGTTGGGCATCGCCCTGCATACTGAAAGGTTGCAGGTTCGATTCCCGGTCAGGGCACATGCCTGGATTGCAGGCTGGGTCCCCAAGTGGGGGTGTGCTAGAGGCAAATGATCGATGCCTCTCTGGCACATTGATGTTTCTCTCCCTCTCCTTCCCTTCCCCTCTCTCTAAAAGTAAATATATAAAATCTTAAAAAAATATTAACAAGCATTAAGAAAAATAAAGCAACTTCCAAGAAATTTCAAAGAATAGTTATCTCATAAACTGTTTTTCTGACTGAAAATAATCCAGTTACAAATCACTAATGCAAAGAGAACTAAAGAAAAGTTAATTTTTTTAATGTTTTAAAATTACTCATGGGTCAAAGAAAGAATAATGGAAATTAGTAAACACCTAAAACTAAATGATTATAAAATGAATATACATAAGAATTTATGAGATAAGCTAAGTAATACTCAGAGGGTAACATATAGCTTTAAATATCTATAACAGAAAATAAGGATAGAAATTAAGAAGCTAATAAGCAATCAGCTGAAGAAAAAAAAATACATGCAAAACCCCCCATACATGTACAGATCAAAACCATAGCCCAATCCTTAAAAAATAGTCTAAAGGACATTAAAAAATGATACAACACATGAAGAACAATGTAAAACAGAATTAGAGAAGCTCAGACAAAAATGGGATTTTTAAAAAACTTATTTCAGAAATGAAAAAACTATACGAGAGCAAGTTACTACAACAGATAATGTCTTAAAAGGAACAGAAAGAAAAATAGGAAAGTTTTTGTTTTTGGAAGTTTTTTAAAAATTGATTTTAGAGAGACAAAGGGAGCTAAAGAGAGGAACATTGATTTGTTGTTCCACTTATTGATGCATTCATTGGTTGATTCTTCTATGTGCCCTGACTGGGGATCGAACCCACGGCCTTGGTGCATTGGGTTAATGCTCCAGCCAGGTGAGCTACCTGGCCAGGGCAGAAGGAAAGTTTTAAAAGTAATGAAAAACCAGAAATGTAAATGCTAAAATTATAAAACTTCTAGGAAAAAAGCATAGAAGAGCATCTTCATGACCGTGAATCAGGTAAACATTTCTAAGGATACCAAAAGTCTTTACCATTGAAGAAAATAAACCTGATGAATTAGTAGTCAGCTTGGGCTGCCATGATAAAAACATCAGACTAGGTGGCCTCCAGGGGGTCCCCAGTGCCCTGGCTGCGGTACCAGTACCGGTCCGTGGCCCATTAGGAACTGGGCTGCACAGCAGGAAGTGAGCAGCTGGGAGCAAGCAAAGCTTCACTGGCATTAGCGCCTGAGCTCCACAGCCAACTTCTTCCCACGCCTCTCCCCACACCTCCACCCCCGCCTCCACCCCTTCCTTCCCCGGACCCAACCCCATTCCCTGAAACCGGTCCTATCCTGAGGCCTCTCCCCTGGGCTTCCAGATACCCACCCTCATTCTGTGTCCTTATGTGGCATATTCTGCGTGTGTGAGCATCCCTGTTGTCCCTTTCTCTTCTTATAAAGACACTAGTCCTATTGGGTTAGGGCTCCCCTCTTATGACCAAATTTAATCTTAATTACCTCTTTAAAAGCCCTATTTCCACATACAGTCACCTGGGGGGGTTTAGGGCCTTAACATATAAATAAATAAACAAACAAACAAACAAATAAATAAATAAATATGGTGAGGGGACACAATTCAGTCCTTAACAGGGCTATTGTGAATTAAGCTGCTATGAACACTCGTAAGTCTTTGTATGGATGTTTTTATTGCTCTTGGGTAAAGATCTAGGAGTAGAATCTGGGAGATTTGGTAATATGAATCTATAACTACAAGAAACTGTCAAGCTGTTTTCCAAATGGACTGTACCTTTGTACACTCTCAAAAAATGTATGGATGAGATTTCTAGTTATTCCACATGCCTCTCAGCACTTAGCATTGCCAGTCCTTGAAATTTAACCCTTCTAGTAGGTGTGTAGTAGTGTTTCATTGTGGCTTTAATTTACATTTCCCTGATGACTAAAGATACTGAATATCTTTTCATGTGCTTCTTGGCCATTCATATACCTTCTTTTGTGAAGTGACTTTTCAAATCTTTCTGGGCAATTTCTCATTATTAGCAGTTCTTTATTTTGGAAACAAGTCCTTTGTCAGTATATTCACTGTGAATACTTTTTCTCAGTTGCTGGCTTTTCATTTTCTTCAGCCTTTTCTTTTTTGAAGAGCAGAATTTTAAATGTAATAAAATCCAGTTTTTTTAGGTACTACATTGTGTTCCCTTCCATATTTGTGTGTTGAAGCCCGTCCCCCCAAAGCGACTGCACAGTAGTTCCCCCTTCATCCAAAGGGAATGTTTCCCAAGGTCCCCAGTAAATACCTGAAACTATGGAAATTACTGAACCCTATACATTGATTATTTTTTTTAGATTTTATTTATTTATTTATTTTTGACCTATGGGAAGGGAAGGAGAAAAACAGGGAGGGGAACACTGATGTGAGAGAGAAAAAGTGATCAGCTGCCTTGATCGTAAAGGATAGAAACATTGACCAGTTGCATTGATCGTAAGCACCACAACCAGGGACCAAAACTGCAACCCAGGCATGTGGCCTGACCAGGAATCGAACCAGTGACTTTTCGTTTTGTGGGATGATACCCAACCCACTGAGCCACACCAGTCAGAGCTGTATATATGTTTTTTCCTGTACATACACATCAATGATATAGCTTAATTTATAAATTAGGCACAGTAAGAGAGTAACAATAATAATAACATAGAACAGCTATAACAATATGCTGTAATAAAAGTTATGCGAATGTGGTCTTTCTGTCTCTGATAAACAAACTGATAATCATAATGGCTACTAGGTTATTAACAGGTAGGTAGCCTATACAGCAGGATATGCTGGACAAGGGGATGATTCATGTCCCAGAACGGAGCAGGATGGTGCGGGATTTCTTCACGCAGCTCAGAATGGCATGCAATTTAAAACTTATGAATTGTTTATTCCTGGAATTTTCCATTTAATATTTCTGAACCACAAGTTGACCTCAGGTAACTGAAACTACCAGAAAGCAAAACCATGGACAAAGTGAGACTACCACATTCAAAGACGTGCCTTTAAAGATGTAATTACTATTAAATTCAGCCCCACCTGTGTGGTTAAGTGGGCGTATAATCCTGCACACTGTAAGGTCGCAGGTTTGATTCCTGGTGAGGGCACATACCTAGGTTGTAGGTTTGGTCCCCAACTGGCGCGTGTGTGAGAAGCAACAAATGCTTTTCTTACATTGATGTTTCTCTCTCTCCCCTTCCTCTCTCTCTGAAGTCAATAAATGTATTTTTAAAAAACTTTTAAAAAATAGTAAATTCAGCCCTGGCCAGTGTGGCTCAGTAGGTTGGAGTGTCTTCCCATAAACCAAAAGATCATGGGTTTGATTCCCAGCCGGGGCACGTACCTACGCTGTGGGTTTGGTCCCCAGTTGGGGCATGTCAGGGAGGCAGCCCACTGATGTTTCTCCTTCCACTGATGTTTCTGTTTCTTGATATTTCTCTCTGTCTTTCTCCCCCTCCCCTGTCCTCTCTCTAAAGTCAATGGGCACGTCCTCTGGTGAGAATCAAAGGAAAAACTTAAATTCAGTCATACGGGTGGGGCCCTAAACCAGTAAGACTGGCATTCTTACAAGAAGAGGAGGGGACACCAGGAAGTTGGCGTACACAGAAAAAAAGGCCAGGTGAGGAGGTGACCATCTGCAAGCTAAGGAGACAGGCCTCAGGAGAAGACAAACATGCCAATAGCTTGATATTGGGCTGCCAGCCTCCAAAACTGTGAGAAAGGATTTCTGTTGTTTGCTCCCATCCCAGTCTATGGTATCTTGTTATGACAGCCCTAGCCAAAACCACATTAAAAGAACTTAGCTTCTGGTATCATAGTGGGGTGCTATTGTAACAAATGCCTAAAAACATGGAAGTGGTTTTGCAACTGGGTGATGGGTAGAGGCTGGAAGAGTTTTGAGATGCGTGTTGGAAAAAGTCAGGACTGCTTTCAGAATACTGTCGGTAGGAATACGGATGTTCAAGGAGACTCTGGGGAGATCTCAGGTGGAAAGGAGGAATGTGTTATTGGAAACCGAAGGAAAGGCGATCCTTGTTATCAAGTGGTGAAGAATGCAGTTAAATCTTGTTCTAGTGTTTTGTGGAAAGTAGAAGTTTAAAGTGAGTTTAGCTGAGACTCTTTCTAAGCAAAGTGTTAAAGAAGTAACCTGGTTTCTCCTCCCTGCTTATAGTAAAGCAAGAGAAGAGAGCAATAAGTAGGAGGAATGTTAAGCAAAAACTGAAGAATTGAAAAATTCTCAGCCTATGTATGTTGCAAAAAATGAGAAAGCATGTTCTGGAGAGAATACCAAGAGTGTGGCTGAAAGAAATCTTTTGATAAAGAGATCTTGGCTGCAAAGATTTAATCAGCCATTGTGGTAGAAGGCAGGGAAAGATCTGAAAGTAAGAGCCAGGCAGCGATGCGCACTACGAGCATCTGGATTGTGTCCCTTAAAACTATTTCCTACTAAATGGAGAAATGGCTGATTTCAGGTTTTAGGTTACGGATTGTGCAAATGAACCTGAACTATCTTGTCACAACAGAGAGCAATAAGGTTATTAAAGGCTACTATGGTCAAGGTAAAAGGACACAGGAGCCAACTTGACAAGACTTTGGCTGGCCAAAGATGGGACGATTCAAGCTTCATTGAGTAGGCTAAGTTGCAACAGGTTGAAACCATCAGATATATTTAAATGCTTGAGTTTATAACAATAATAAAAAATGAATCAATCACCACTGGGAAATGGTAGAGAACCAGTTCATTATCTTAAATACTGGTAAATAAAAGCAAAAACAAAAAAACAAACAAAAAAACCCCAAAATAAAACTCCAACAATCAGGCATTTATCCTGTCTTGCCTATTTGGGAAGTACCTCAAAGATCAAATACTACACAGAGGAAGCACCTCTTTACAAAATAATTCTAACTAATAAATGAAAAAATACAATGATAATATTACCATTTTGCAATTCTCACAGAGATTTCAAAAGCGTAAAAGGTAAGGAAAATATTGTAAAGGTCCAGAACATGGCCTTTCAACTCTTTAATCAATTTATCCCAGCTCCACTATTCCCAGTGGTATGACTCACAGCAAAATAGATTCTTGGTGCTTCAGTTTCCTTAACTGCAAATGGAGCTACTGCCTCCCTCCTCAAAGGACTGTGTGAGATTAAACACGTTGAATGTATTGCCTTGGTGCTGACGTAACAGCAGACACACGCACACGTTAGGTGTTTTCTGTCTCCTGATACAGTTCTACACAGTTCTCTCTTTTGCAAGCTCTCTTGCAGTCTGTCCACCAAACCAGGCCCCTGTCACTCACATCTTGATGCTACAGGTAGAGAGACAGCGATGGAACGGGAAGAGCACAAGTCTGGGGGTCAGACAGTCGGGACTTTCTTCTGGCTTCATTGCCAGCTTCCTTGGGCAAATCACGGCACCTTCCTAGGCTCAGGGTCCTTGCCTCTAAAGTGGGGAAATGCAGTGCCTGCCTGGTGATGCTGGGAGGAAGAAGTGCAGTATTCATACCAGGCCCGTAGCACTCAGCCTGGCGTACGGCGGGGCCCGAGTTCACGGCAGTTTTCTCCCCTTCCTGCTTCCCCCTCCTCACCAATCCTAGATCAGTCCTCCTGAGAATCTGCTTTTATCACCTTACTCTCCTACTAAGGAATTTCATATGATTCTGTCTATGTGCAAAGACGGTGAATCTATTTGCATGTTCAGATACCTCAGCAGGAGCAGTGGCTGCCTGGCCTGCCAAGTTGGGAAGGACTCCAAGGCTCTGAGCAGGTTCCGTGGGGAAGAGGGTGATCGTCTAGTGATGCCTGACATGGGCTCTGCAGGAGACCCGTTTGCCCTCCCTTGCCTGTGGGAACAACTCCAAGCTTTGAGTCCAGGCTGCCATGAATTCCATTGCTGGGTCTTCCTAGCTCTACCCAAGCGCCACTCCGACTTTTCCCAAAGACCCACCCTCACCCCTGGCAGGCCTATCACCTGTGCCCTGTTCTCCATTCAACATCAGTCCCACCTTAGAGCTCTATCAAGTGCTCTCTCCAAATACCTGCCACATACCATCTCCCTGGCGACCCAGAGTACCAGCAAATGCTGCCCACACTGACAGCAGCTGTCCCGAGAAGCCCCGCCCACCCCTGCCCATCTCCTCAGTCTCCCCGCCCACCAGCCTGGAGGTTCCCCTTTACCTATGATAAGCCACAAGATAGGTCACATCCTGGGGGTTGCCAGGCCCTGGGAGCCATGTCAGGTACACGCTGAAGTTCTGGGAGAGCAGCGACACGTTCTGGGGTGGGGCCAGATGGGGCCTTCCTGCGGGGGAGAAAGGGGTCATGAAGCCTGGAGCTGCTGGCTGGTCTTGACATTGGCCATTTGGAGCAGAAGAGTGGCACGGCAGGCAGTCACACGCTCACTGACTTTGAGGAACCAGGAATCTCCTGGGGAGTCTGAAACATGGGGGACATGATGGAGGCTGGGAACCGGGGGGCCAGGAGCCCTGTGAGAGCCACACCATGACTGGCTGCACTGCAGCCCCGTCCCACACTGCCCCACCCCCACCCCCTGCCAGGCCTCAGCAGCGCGCCTGTGCCTTGAGACGACGCTCCTTCCCACTCTGCCCCCGAGGGTTACGGTGGGCCACAGAGCAGGAACCCTCTAACAGACTCCTGGGCCTCCTGCACTGCAGGAGGGAACAGCCCCGAGGGTCTCCATGAGCAGGTGCTCTGTGTGGTTCTCAGCCACGTCCCCAGAGCCTGCCTGTAATGGTCCCTAGCACACAGGAGATGCACAATAAATATCTGTTGAGTGAATGAACAAATATTGTGATACCTTGGATCATTTCCAAGGCCTCCTAACTGGTCCCTCTGCTTCCAACCTTGTCTCCTTGGTCTGTTCTCCACACAGCAGCAAAGCATAAAATCAAAGTCAGATTATGCCACTCTTCTGCTTTAAACCCTCCAATGGCCTCCAGTTCACACAGGGTCAAACCCAGTCTTTATGATCACCCACAAGCCCCTACCCAAGCTGACCCACGCCTCTCCCCCACTCCTTCCTCTCCAGCCACGCTGGCCAGGCCCGCTTTCGGAACAGCCAGTGAACAGCAACTATCACTGTCTCAGTGACACTTTCGCTGACCACCTTTAACTGTTCTCCTCCATGGCTCCTCCTCGCCACCTCCTCTTCCTCCTCCTCCTCACTGCTAATCCTCTTCTTTTGAAATATTTATCTGATTACACAACTGCTCAGTCTCATGCCCTTCCCTTGCCTTCAGAACAAAGTCCACAGTCTTTACCAAGGTACATGAGGCCCTGCCTAGCATGGCCTTGCCATGTTGCCTGGCTGACCTCTCCCCCACAGGTTCCTTAGGCTGCGCCAGTCTTCCTTGACCTTCTCAAACCACTGTATTCTTTTGGGTGCCTTTGAACCCAGGTGACTTTGACTGCCTGGTGTTCACCATCTAATCTTTTGAAGACTCCATTCAAATGCCGCTTCCTTCAGGGAGTCTTCCCTGACATCTCTAAGAAGTGGGGGTGGGGTGATGATGATGATGCTAGCAGCTAATGGGCAGTGTGTTCTAACTATGTGCCGGGCACTGCGTTAGGTATATTGCCTGCACTTTCTCTTTCAGTTCTCCCCACCCCCCTAGGAGGGTAGGTACTAATTATGGTCATCACATTATAGATGAGGAAACAGAGGCCCTGTCAGCTAACAAGCTGTAAAGTCAGAATTCAAATCGAAGCCAGGCCAACCCCACAGTCTGAGCTCTTCCAGGTTCTCCTCGGTTCTCATGGGGTCTGTTCAGGTCTATGCTTCCAACATCAATGGACCATTACTGGTCAATAACATCATTGACCACTATGTGCCAGAGGTTTGAAGAATACAACTCCATTACTGCTCTTTAGGAGCTCACGGTCCCATGAAGGATTCAGTGTCCTGAAGTGTCACCTGGGCCACAAGAGAAATCCATCCAGGTTACAGATGTGGACAAAAAAGGGCCACAGATTAACCTGACAAGCTCAGGGGAGGTCCGCCCTACTAACTCAGAGATCTACAGTAACTGCAAAGGATGGTCTGAAATGAAAACTTGTTAACAAAAGCAGTTCACGGTGGGTAGTCACAGCCGGGGCTGGTATTTTCCCCTAATAAAGGTCAATCTTTACCTTAACAGAGCCTGTCTATTTTCTTTTTTATCTCTCATAACACTTTTGTAATGTCAAGGTAATGTCCCTTTTTTCTGAACCCCTTGGGCACAGTCACCACACCAGAGCTGAGACCACAAATCCCTTCGTTGTTGTAATGTTAACTGTTGACTGTTAACTATCTCTTACTCACCTCTGTAAAAGAAGTTTGTGTTTATGGGTTTATCTTTTATCCAATCCCATATCCAACCCCCCTAATCTATCACCAGTAGATTTCCTGTAACACTCTGATGTCTCCTCCTCTGATTGTATTATATGAAATAAGGCGCTAAACTGCCATTCTCTGGAGCATTTCTCAGTCCTGTTGAGATTTTCCTTCCCGGTAATTGTCGTTTGCTTCAAATAAACTCACAAAAATTCTGTACAGGTTTGAATGTTTCTTATGTCAACACAGAACAGCCTGAGGGAGAGAAGGATCAGTTCTGGTGATGGCTCTCAGGTGGGCTTCCTACTCCTGGCCTTTCAGACCCAAATACGGGTGCCTGGCTCCACCCTATCCTGTGTCCCCAAGTTGGAAATGGATCGCTGGGATGCTGGTGTTGTCACTGCTCCCAGCTTCTGGATTTCCTAGCTGACGGCTGGTAGCAGGCCAAAGTCTGTCTGCAAGCCACTTACAAGGCATCTGTGGGCCGGACAGGCTCAAAGTCTGAGCTTGGCCACAGCGGAGAGAGAGAGCAGCTAGAGTAGCTACCTGAGCCTTCAACAGGTTTGGCATTTTATACACAAAACCTCAATCAGTCATCAGGACACACCACCTGATGGGGTAGGTGTCATTCCCCTTCCATGGAAGGGCACTAGCCTCGGAGACAGATGGCAAATAACTTGCCTGAGACTACACAACTAGTTTGTGTGGGACCCAGGATTTGAACCTGGATCTAGCTGGACCTCACCCTAAAGCATCACAGCACACTTTACGTTGCACAAATTAAAATTCCCTCAGGGAAAATGCAGTGAGGGCTGGACAAGAAAGGTACTGAGTTTAACAGCGAACCCAGGAGACAGAGCACCCCTTCTCCCCTCCTTAGTTCTGTCCCTCATCAGCTGCAAAAACACCCACTGCTGGGAGGCACCAGGGGCTGGGGCATCCCTGAGCTGACCTAGGCGGCCTGTGCCAGCTACCCCCTCCACGGCCAGAGCTGGCCATGCTTGCTTCTGCCAGTCTTCTCTGCTCTGCGTCTCACCCCTCCGCCTTTCTTCTTGGGCAATTAATTCCCTTAATTGCTCTGAGCCTCGGTTTCTACACCTGAAAAGGGAGCGAAGACTATCTACATAATGGGATGGCTGTGTTATAAAGCTTAAAGAGGATAATGTGGTGCCCAGCACAAAGAAATTGCTCAATAAAAGCTGCCTTTTAATATAATTATTAGATTGTGTCCAAGTGCCCTTCTAGCGCTTAAATTGTAGTCTAAGACTAGGAAGATGTCCTGGGGACAATTTGAGGACCATGTCCCTGGATTGTTTGGGACTTGGTAGTTTGGTCCCGCCCCAAGGTTTTTGTACTCCGCCACCTTATTTACCGGCCAGAGGGGGCTCAGCAGGAAGGTGGTTTGACAGAACAACAGCGGGGCACAGGCTAAGCCAGGGCTCCTCTCTCTCAGGTGGAGGCAGGACTTCTGACACCCCCACCTGGGGGAAGGGGAGGGGGCTGCGGGGCGGGGGGCGGTGCAGAGCACTCCTGGCTGACTTTCCCAATTAGTGAGAGAGTCAAGCATGTTATTAATGCAGAAGACAGTGTTTTTAGGAGACCTGGACAATCACTTTATAAATAAATGCGGTTACTTTACAAAGGATCTCTTTTTTTCTGTTCCCCTCAACCTGAACTGGCATTAGGACACTGGATCAGTTTTCTTCCGGAAAAAATTTCCAAAAACTCGGGTTCGTTTAATTCTTGGAAGAAAACTCGTGGTGAGTGGGCAGTGCGATGAGCACTCCGCTCAGGTGGCTGCTGAAAAGTTCGGCCCGCGTCCCTCCCCCTTCGAGGCTCCGGGTCCGAGGGCGGACGCAGCCGGCCAGCGCGCCGCGCAGCCCCCTGCCCTCCCCGCACCCTTACCTCCAGCGGACGCCAGTAGGCAGAGGAGCAGGAGAGCCCAGCGTCCGGCCGGGCTCATGTCAGTTAGCCCTTACCGGGCCTGCCGGGCGGGCGGAGTCCAGCTGCAGGACACACCCACGGGCAGGTGACGCAGCCGGCAGCCAATGGGAGCCGTGCCGCGGGCCCCCCCCTCGGGGGTCCTCCCCTCGTGGGCCAGGGCGCTGCGGGGTCTTCCCCGCTGGGCGCCCGGCTGCCCCTGCTCGTGGGCCCCCGGTGCTTCCACTTCCTTTGTTCTCACCACTCCCGGGGAGGGGTCGGGTGGGGGAACGGTACATCCGTGCTTGCGGCAGGCGAGGACGGGGGAGGAAAACTGTTTATTATCAATAACCACAGTTAGGAATTCCAAGACGGGACTTTTAACAGGACCAAGAAGAGTTCAGGGTCAGTTTAACATCAAAGCCTCCGACACCATTGGCAGGATCTGAACGTGTTCTACGTGTCAGATAGTAAGACAAGCACTTTCACATATTATTCGCATTACCACCCCGCCCCCCAAGAACCCCCCGCAGGCTGGTCCTGTTAGTCTCCGTATTCTTCACGTGGGGGTGGGGGTGGGGTTGGCAGCAACCTCCAGAGCCTATTAAGAATAGCCTTGTTCCGGGGAAAGCTTGTCCCCCCAACACCAAAGCACGTGGTTTGTGGCCCCTCACCTTGAAGAATAATCGAGTAACCCCTTCCAAATAATGGAACCAGTCGCAACTCAGAAAGATCTACAGTCATTAAAAAAGTTGTGACTCAGGTGTGTGCAATCCATTCATTCAGTAGCAGAAAAGCAGATACAGTACCAAAATATGGGCCCATTAAAAGAAAATGTGTGTCGGTAGGCTTGAGTAACAGATTTGGAAGCCTAGACCCCAATATGTTACTGGTTGTTATTGCTGGGTGGCGAGGATTTTTTTTTTAAACTTCTTCTTTCTGCTCATGTTTACTTTCTAAGTTTTTCAAAAATATGTGTATTGCCATTCCAAAAAGAAAATTCACTTTTATTCTAGTAAGAATCATAATGCTCCTTTATTAAATATGTTCTTTCCTGTCTTTCCACAACTCCTAAAGGAGGTATTGCCTCCTCTTCACAGATTTTTTTTTTTTTTGGCCAAGGTTTATTTAAATATAATTGATGTGAAATAAACTGCATGTATTTAAAGTGTACCATTGGTCAATTTTGATTGGATGTATACACCTGTGAAACCATCATTACAATCAAGACAGTGAACACATCCAATCCTTAGGAAACCACGGATCTGCTGTGGGCCACTGTGGACACATCTGTGTTTTCTACAACTTTCTATAAATGGAATCATATAGTGTACCTTCTTTTGGGTGGGTCTCCTTGCATTCAGCATAAAGCAGGGGTTTGGCTTTGAGCTGTGCCAGGAAGTGTGGGGTGTGACTTAGAGAGTATTCTAGGGAGAGGAGGCCAGTAGAGGGAAAAATTCGAAGGCAGAAAAATGTCACTAGGCCAGGCTGGATTGAGGGTCTCTCCCTCATTCATTCATCAAATGTTTGTTGAGTTCCAACTACATGCTAGGCACTGGGCTAAGAGCAGGGCTAGAATGTGGGGCGGGGGGTCTTGCGGCTGCCCTGGATTCACCCTCCACCCTCCTCTGCGCTCCATGTTCCAGAAGCTCACTTGTTATACAGGGACAGGGATTGCATACAGGAGGCTGACTTCCGGTTGGGTTTGGCCATTGGGATGCCTGGTGGGAGGTCAGAGGGAGGCCAGGTAGCTACTCCTCTGGTCCCCTCCCTGGAGCTCCTGCAAGTGACCCTCTCTGCTTCCTGACAAGCCACCATTCTAGTAGCTTCTCTGGGTATATTGACCAAAGCTGATTCTCTTCTCTTAAAGACTTGGTAAAATGCACCTGCAAATGGCCTGGGGTAGTCCCAGCCTGTCTGATTCCATGGCCACACTGCCTCTGACGGGTCAGGTGACTGCTGCTGGGTTGTGACCAAGCCTACGACCTAAGACCAGACATGCAGGCAGCAGAGAGAAATATCTGTTGCAGATGCTGGCTCTGACTTGAATCCCAGAAGTTGTTGGGAGACAGAATGCATTTTCATAGCACTCAGTGGATCCCAAAGTCGCCCTGAGATGGGTCCTGGGTGCAAACATGCAGAAATTTCAGGAAGGTTCTGGGATTTGCATCATGCCCTCAGCTCAATTGGTGCTTCTTAATGGGAACTCACAGTGGCCAGCCACATTGGATCTCAAAGGCAAGGAAGTGGGCGCTGTGGGAGGCACACTTAAGTATCTTGGAATTTCCTCCAACATTGCGACTGTAATAGAACGAAATAATCAGTCTTTCTGACTCCATCTTGTTTGAGCCTGCCTAGTTCCCAGGCATGTCAGTTCGTAGCTTCTTCCGCTTTGTCCTACAGGTATTCTAATCAGTAAGGAATCTCACCTGTAGTCTAGGAATTCCTGAGACAATCTCCCTGCTTGACACCGCCTCACCAAAGAGAAAAGGAAGGCTGAACAAAACCGGTAATTGTTTATTAAAAGATTTAGTCTAGAGGAACCTTGTATCTGGGACGTTGGCAGCCTGACCTCCTAACCTCAAACCCCTCCCATATTCCCCCTTCCCCTGATGTAAAAGAAGCCTAAATTGTGTACTTTCTCAAGATGGTTCTTTAGGATGCCATCTTCTTGGCTTGTTGGCTTTTCCAATAAAGCCAATTTCTTGCCCCAGCTCCTTGTCACTCGACTTACTAGCTGTCTGTGCAGCAAGCTGTTGCAGCTCTCACTTGATTACAACTACATCTTACCCACCGCAGCTCTTTCAGACCCAGAATCCCTCTGAACTGGGAGCAGTTCCGCAGTGGGGACAGATGTATCAGGACATGGGCGCTATGTGTTTGCAATGCGCTGCTTCGGTCTCCTTCTGGTACCTCACGTACTGATGATAAGTCCATTCTGGGATAAAATGGGCACATCTCTTGTGAGATCTCTTTATCTGCTGCTTCGGTCTCCTTCTGGTACCTCACGTACTGATGATAAGTCCATTCTGGGATAAAATGGGCACATCTCTTGTGAGATCTCTTTATCTGCTGCTTCGGTCTCCTTCTGGTACCTCACGTACTGATGATAAGTCCATTCTGGGATAAAATGGGCACATCTCTTGTGAGATCTCTTTATCTGCTGCTTCGGTCTCCTTCTGGTACCTCACGTACTGATGATAAGTCCATTCTGGGATAAAATGGGCACATCTCTTGTGAGATCTCTTTATCTAAAACAGCATACACCAGCATTAATGCTTACGGAGTCTCTGTGTTGCAGCAGGCCTACAGGGTACCTATATTACAATATTTAATCCTCTTAACGATCTCATGAAGTGGGTCTTAATATCCCCTTTGACAAGTGAAACTGAGAGAGAGCACTGCTTGCCTGGGGTCACAGCCGATTAGTGACAGGGCTGGGTTTCAGGTCTCGATGTGATTGTCCTCAAAATCTGTGATTTTAAAACTTCTGCTACTCAGCCTCCAGATGGTTAAGGTCAGGCAAAAATAAAATTCCCCAGCCCCTTTCACTTCCTGTCCTGCAAAGATCACAGCATGAGACTCTCATGAGCAGCCAAGTGTGTGTGGGCTGCCAGCCTTCTCTCTGGGCAGAACTGTTAGGTGGAAATGGTGGTGCTGGTAAAATATTTCTCAGGGAGCCTTCCTTAACTCCAGCGTTGATTTGTTTCAATCACTATTTCATAGAAGTCAATTTTGTGCCTTTAATATCTCTCTTTCCTGGTTATGTCCTTAGGGCCTTGTACATAGCAGGTACTCAGTGAAGAGTGAGTAACAGACCTTCAATGCCTGGGACTCAGTTGAACACAATTCCAGATGCCCAAAACAACTCAGCCACTCACTAAATGTGTACCAAGCTGAACTTGGCATGTGACTCATGATTAAAAGACCTCAATATCTCTTCTGAAAGTATGACTTCACAGTCATGCTTCTCTCTACAAATGGGTTTTTACAGTCATGCCGCTTGCATTGACCCTAAAAATAACAAGTATAAACCACCTTACTGTATGAAGATTCACAGCCTCTTTCTCTCCTGCCTACGTCAGCAAAGGGTCCAGGAAAGTTAGATGGGTGGACATTGGAAAGGGCAGGAAAGGAGGAAAAAACTAAGAGCTAACTGGGGCTTGGGCGTTTGAAAAAGAAAAGAGGAAATTTAGAGTTCAGCTGCTGTGAATATGAGCTATATGAAGGGGGGGAGGAATGGATTTTAAAACGTTTTTGCTTGGTATTAGGACTGGAATCCCCTTTGGCTTTTTTTTCAAGAGTCTAAAGATTATTAAGTGATTTGGAACTATTGTTGTCTTTCTTGCCTGTTGTTTTAATGCAATGCTGGAGGGAGGCAGGTCCCAGCACAAGAACAAAAAGGCCCATTTTTATATCTACCAAGGACAGAAACCCCAAACTGGCTTAAAAAAAATAAAAAAAGGAACCCTACAGTTTTACCAGATTGGAGAATTCAAGGGTGGGTGTGGCTATGAGTCAGTTCCAGCAGATGAAGATTCTGATTGGCCTGCCTTGGGTCACATGCCATTCTTTGACCCAATCAATGTGGTTAGGGAGATTGGAATATTCTAATTGGCCAGTCTGGGTAGTATGCCCTTGCCTGGGGTGGGAGGGGTGAGTGGAACACCCTGATTACAACTCCTCCAAACTCTGAAGCAGAGAGAGGGTGGCTCCCCCAAAAATGGATGTTCTGAGACAAACAGCACATATCCACTACATAGGGTTCCATATGAGGAGCCCTCAGAGATCGTCCCCACCAACTTCTTACCCTGAGAGTCTCCCCTCTCCAACATCCTAGAGAGAGGGCCATCCGGCTGCTGCTTGGAATCTTCCAGTGATGAGCTCTCAATACCCTTTGAGGCTCCCAATTCTGTTTCTGAGCAAGTCTAGTTAGAAACATCTCCCTTAAATGAACCTACCTTCTTGTAATTTCCCTCAACCTTTTAGATCTTCCTTTAGGGGTCTCACAGAATAAAACAAGGCCCTACTCTCCGTGTGAACCTTTCAAATGTTAAGGTTTCTGGAGAC